CATATAATAAACATCTTATTAACTGAGCTAGGTCGGTCTGTATGGGAGAATCTTGACCTCGGTCACTGGTACAGACCTCACTGTGTTCGGTCTGTACTGGTGACCTCAGTCAAGATTCTCCCATACAGACCTCCCGCTCGGTTAATAAGAACTAAGTAATAGAACAGTGGATAAGGGTAATTGGACAGTATACATTTGCAACTATCAAAATTTTCATCATTTTCTTCATTTCTTTTACCTGTGATTTATCATACAAAGCAACTCCAATAACATAGATTATTGTCCCAGCTCTTTTGGCCTTCTTAGCCTACAGATAATTAATAGCAATTACAAAAGAAGATTGCCTCGTAAATCAAGATGAATAATGCACTGCAGGGATGTTTACAGTCACATCACAAGACTGAGAAAACATATCAGTATGTATTAAGTAGGATGAATAAATAGATTCAAGAGGTAATTGTATGATGTGGCAATTCACAACATTTAAACACACAAAGTTAATTTATTTAGTAAAGATACAACAAAAATCACACTTCAGTTGATTATTTTATACAGACAACTCACAACCATACAAACTAGATCCTCACCTTAGCTGAAAACAATTTGCCATTTCCCTAGATTTTTACCAAATATTCACTGTAATTTTAATTAGTGGCTTGAAACCTCAAACAACACTCAGCAGACTCTGTTTCTCATCATGGTGTTTCAATACTTAACATGACAAGTCAAACCAACAGTAAATTAACTGTAGTCCAAAACAATGAATTATTTTGAGCCAGCCTTTTTCATCTTTGTCATTTTCTGGCACTTAACCCAAACCATTTGAGCACTGTCACCTTTCTTATTCAATTCTGTTTGGGACACAATGACTTCAGTGCATTGTATCTTTGTAAAATTTAAAGCTAAAATCATATTTGTGGAGTGTACGATTCTCACACATCTTTTTCCTTACTGTGATTGAATTTGATTAAAATGGACACTGTATCAATAGATAGTCACTGAACACTGTTTCACTCAACTCTTTTTCAGCTCCTAATAACTGAAACTCCTGGGGGCCCATTCCTTGAAAATCCCAGAAACTTAACAGGCCAGTAAAGCTGTTCCATTTTCTTTTAAGATGGGGATTTCAAAAGTTTTGAAAATGATGCAATAAAAGTATCAGCTAAAGTGTGAACTTATTTAAGATTTTTAAGGGTGAGAGTGGCCCAACTAAACAATTAAACCACACATTGGCACAAAACCCAACATTTTAAATTCCAATCAATCTGAAACAGTGGACATTACAAGAACCACCTAGTGGAATGCCCACCGCTAAATCCCTTTTTAAATTTTTTATTTCATCATAATTTATAATGAAATTCACCAACCTCTTCATTAGCTGTACCAATGTCATCTATTTTCCCATCAGTGAGAATGATATAGATACTAAATGCTGACTGCTGCCCTGTAATTTCATTGAGGCATTTGGTGAAGAAAAGATTTACAACTACTACTAACAGGATCAAAATATCATATTGTACACAGGCGGAACCTGCTGTGTGAAGAAATAGTACATTCAAGTATATCTCACTAGCAGTGAACATGCAGCTCCAGAAAATATCCATACCCCCCTATGGAAGGTTGTTAGAAATTCAGAGGGGGAGGGGGGTCAGCGGGTATGATTTCTGAGGGTACGGGGGCTCACGTCTAGCCTTTTCTCCAAAGGGTGGCAAACGCTTAAGTTAAAAGTTTGTAATGAATGAAGTATAAATTACTTAAACAATGAAAAAAGAAATATAAATAAATATCTTCTCCATTCAATTGGGCTTAACAGCATTTTGTCATTAATGTTTGTATTTTTGCTGCAAGTTTCACCAGAAGAACGATGGCCTCTGTACATTTATGGTTTGCCTAGTTTCTAGTTCTCTTTCCATGCTCAACATTGAGAGGGCTCAGCTGCTCATCCAGTATCATTACTTGTGGCTGATCAATACCTATGTCGCTTCAATGTTCAATCAGCTAAGGTCAGGTAGAGGTATTAGTTAAATCACACCTTAATTAGTACGTTTTACAGACGACAAGCAAGGTGAAGAACAGACAAGACAAATTAATCTTATTCCTTATAAGTGTTCTCAGTTGCACTTTCCATAAGTTTATGTTCGCGTTTTGCACACCGGTCTAAAAAGCATATCTTTACAGTTGCGATTTTCGTGACGTGAGCAAGAGTTTTTTGCACTCAAGAAAATTATAAACATAAACTACACAACAACAAACAAATTTAGCTCTATTTATAATATTGATGTAAGAAATCAAACATTCTGATTCAGCAAAAGGATAAGTCTGAAGTACAATAGCAAAGTGTTGTATTGTGTGGCCACAATAAAAAAGTAATTAACAAATTGATTGTAACAGCGTGAGCCATCAGTTTTCCATGTATAAAATGACTTGGAGCTTCTGAGGGGTCGGAGATGAGGGAAAAAAAACAGAAATTCTGGAGAGGAGGGGAGTTCTTCATAAACTACTGGAATTGGAACTACACAATAGGTAATGTACTTGACTACTGAGTATATTCAACATAACAGTGAATTATGTAATATTGTAAGAAATAGACAACTTTTTTGAGAGACACGTTTCGGCATGTTTATGCCATCTTCAATCAATGTTCAGTGATAAAGATCGTACTCCTGATGCTCTAAAATGCATGGTAGTTTATCAATTTTCTTGTGCGGGATGTAATTCCCGTTAGATTGGACAAACTAGTCACCACTTCTCTACTAGGATAAAGGAGCACACGGAAAGCGATAAAAACTCGCATATTTTTAAGCATTTCAACACATCCCCTTCTTGTAAGAACAAATACTCCTTTTAATTCTTGCTTTAGTATCCTGGATTCTGCGAACAACTCAATTGATTTAAAACTCAAAGAAGCTTTTTACATAAATAAGATCAAACCTGAACTTAACAAACAATTACAGAATTATAACATTTTTTTAGCGTTTTAGTTCACACCTTTGATGTTTGGTGTCACGTTGTAATTAGTACCTGCTTTTGTATTACATCATACTGTAAATATCTTATTCATCTACTTGTCAGTTATATAATTACTCACGTTCTGTTACTCATTGATTGAAGATGGCATAAGCATGCCGAAACATGTCTCTCAAAAAAGTTGTCTATTTCTTACAATATTTATCATACTTGCTACTACTACGACCTTATGAAGAATCATGTAATATTGTAAAAAAATTTCCTTTTCATTTTTTTTTCTTGGGGGAAGGGGATAGGGGATCACTGCAGGTGACTAAACTTTGTTTTTAGCAGGACCAAGCAGGCTAGTGGGGATCTACTTTTGCTTGGCCAATGACTATGCAAGCAGAATAGATCTTATCAAGGGCTACCAAAATTAAAAAAAAAAAAAAAAAAAATTGGGGGGTAACCATGCAATATTGCAAAATAATCAAGCCTGTTTTATTACATGCATGAGGTTGGTCTCTCATCCATTTTTCCACCAAAAAGAGAGCATGCACCACCATAGCATGATGCACAGCTTGAATGGGTACTGGCAATTACAGGCACTGTCCATAATTGAGATCATTTCATAAATTTGGGTGGGCCACATGGCAACTTTAGAAAAAGTTTAGCCTGGAGACCTACCAATAATTGACAGATAACCACTATCTAATAATCATTCCAAAGATTGCAGAGTGGAGATGTTACATTCAAAATACTGTTGACCAACCTCGCTGAGGTACATGGGTATGGGCATAGAAGCTGAAGACTAATGCATAATGAAAGAGAAGGACCTTACACCTTCTCTTTTCAAGCTCATTTTTGGACTCACCTAATTGAGAAGCAACTTGACTATTTGCCTGTTAAAAGGAAAAAGAAAAAAGAAATTGGAAAATTTAAACTAGAATATTTCCTGTGACTGATATAAATTGGTTGAAATATTGTTACTAGTGCTAAAATACTCATAGAAAGCATTGTACATGAGCATCTAAACTGATTCATTTTAAATCACATCAAGTAAGGTAAACAGTAGAAGGTTAATAGTTAAATGTGGACAGCTGGGCTAAATCATAGCAGCTTAACAAGACATCTGACTAAGGTCAACTCTTCAACCATGCTTTGCAAATAGCCACAAATTAAAGTCATTGAAACAATTGGTTTTCACCAAGGACAAAATATGTTGGTGACAGAGCTACCCTTGGCAGAGAAAAAATTAAACACATGGTGTACATACTGTCTACTGACTTGAGTAAAGCCTTTGACTCTCTTAACCATTCTCTAATCGTAAAGAAACTTGAGGCCTATGGCATTGGACAAAATTCTCTCAACCTTCTTAGATCACACTTTGACAATCGGCTCAATAGAGTGAAAATAAAAGGAGTGACAAGTGACTGGAAAAGGATGGTGCTTGGCTGCCCGCAAGGCTCGTCCTTTGGCCCCCTTCTGTGGAATTTGTTCCAAAATGATATGTCATTCCATATAAATAATGCTAATTTGAGCATGTATGCCGACGACCATCAGATGTATGTCATGGGGAAGAAGCATGACGNAGGAATTCTATTAAATATATGGGACCTCTCATCTGGTCGAAGTTACCAAGACACCTAAGAACGATAGAAACTCTAAATTCGTTAAAGAAGAACTTAAGAAAAGTCGACGTTTCAACTCTCGTTGAAATTTAAAACTTAACTAAATAACTTTATAATCATTTTAATTATCTACTGTAAATAGCTATTATCTACATATGTAAATGTATTTGACTTTTAAATTTTTTAGTGTCCCCCATTAGCTTATAGCTGAAAATATAGACACTTAAATAAAGTTTTTCATTCATTCATTCAATGACTCATGTGTCCATTGAATGATTGCGTTCTTTGGTAAAACAACTACAACCACTTACATATGAGAAATGGCCAGGTTATATAAAGTTATTGTTAAGGACATTAGCCAGAAGGCTCATTTTTTTATTGATTGTTGATTAGTTCACTATTTTCAGAATGATCTTAGATAGCCACATAGTTACAATGCTTATCTGTTTTTATGTATTTCTATTGATTTTGTAATCGGACCTTTCAGCATCACCACTTGCATTTCAAAGGCAAGTTTAGCGTCCCTTTCATCAGTTCTTTGTAAGTTTTGAATAGTCTTGGTAAACTGTCGCCCTTTCGTTTTCTCAACCTCTGGCACAAGCGGGACCGATATTTTAAGATCGATCGTTCAATAGATTGATTGACTGTGAGAATAATCGTTACTTTCATCATTGATTGTGGTTCATGGTCGTTTGCCTTTCAAGAATAAAGATTCATGCAAACTGTCAACTTTGGTTCACCATTTCGATCAGCAAAATAGTCACAAACACCTCGTTAACCATTTTTTGGAATGACACACCCTTGAACTTGAGAATTTAAATTTGGTCGCCGTAGACGCTACAGTTATTGCGATTGTATACTTGATGGTCTGATGAAATCCATAGGTAAACAACTCAGCACAAAAACAAAAATGCTGCACTACCAGTAATTTATTCAGGAGCATTTTACAGTGTATATGAATGCAACAATTTATACCAACAAAATTGATTTGATGACTTGGTACATACCATCCTAAGAGCTTTCCCAAGGTATGTATCTCCACCTGGTTGTACTTTCCTCAATTCATCCAGACCTTCCTTGATTTTAGATCTTCATGTAAAAGCATAATATGTAAGACATGAAAGTAATATGTTACAACAGTGAGTCATATTCATCCTAATTTTACAGGGTACATATAGTTTGTTGGTAATTAACTTCTGTTTTCAATATTAATCCTTAACTCGTAAACCCTTTAACTTCCAGAAGGGATCGACAAGTAACTTCTCCTTGTATTATTCCATAGATTACACCACAGACAGGTAATGAAAAATTATACTCAAATGTATCTGGTGGAAGTTGCTGTCCTCATCTAATACCAAATTCTTATAACTAATTTACAAACAAATGTGCAGCAGCTAGAAGCGAGAATTAAAAGTCAGATATTGGGAGTTAATGGCATTACTCCTATAAGTGATTAACATGTAAGTTCTCCCTATAATATCAAATATTCAAATAGACTACAAAAAATTCAAAAGACAATGACTATATACCGGTGTATAGTTTTTCTATTATTAATGAGGGTAACATAAAATTAAGGATGACTGGGATTACCTGTCACTGGTCAATCTCAAAATTGTTTCTGTTATTCTGTCTGAGGAGAATGTGATGAAGGATAATCTAACACCCTTCCTGGAAATAAAAAAATAAGGTTAAGTATCATTGGTCCACTAAGCATGCAGTTTTTGTTATCACTAAATCAAAATACACATCCTATTGCTACTTCCTCCATGATTATTATATTAATCAAATCAAGTTTTTAGTCAACACTTACCCAACAAAGTTCCCTACTGTCTTTTGAACAAAGTCCACAGTTTGCCGCTGAAAAAAGCTTTTATGAACACTGCCTGACCTGAAATTACCAGAGAAAGAAACACGTTATCCTCACAAGTGTGCTGCAAAAAAACAAACGAAAAAAGAAAGGCCTTGGTGGGATTCAAACATGTGCCTACTAGATACTGATTGGGTACTGCTACCAAACTGAACTATCAAGCCACACGTTGAGAGCAGGCACATTTTAGAAGGTTTTTTTTGTTTATCCTGTAGACGAAGGAAATGGTCAGTCTGCCACTGATTAACCTGCATTTTAATCGTTTCAAGTTACTGAGATCTGATCTTACTCCTACAATGTAAAACTCTAAAGCTGAGAGCACTCACTCTCCTTCCTGCCCATGTTCAGGATACACACACACACACACACANACATACATACATACATACATACATACACACACACACACACACACACACACACACACACACATACATACATACATACATACATACATACATACATACACACACACACACACACACACACACACACACACACACACACACACACATACATACATACATACATACATACATACATACATACATATATGTACATACTTTAATTGTCCCAAATGGGCTTTTCAGTGTTCAAGAAATAATCAAAACTGTATATTCATAAGTTAATGTAATAAAATCAACGTATATAAGAGGATATATGAGTCATGACTTTGGGGTTTCAGAATAAACAAATGAATGAAAATTATTGACCTAACAATAAGATCTTGGAGTACAATTAAAGGAGGACTCACAAAAGAATTTTGAATCTGTTGCATGGGCTGTTGTATGTATACATACACCTTAAGTGATAGTTTAACATTTAAACACATGGATATTTTGGGTAGATGCACAGATGTTTTTCTGAGCCTGAAAGGGACAAGGAAAAATACAAGCAATGAGCTAAATATCCAGGCTTATATCAAATGCTAAAAAATCGAATAAGGAATTTATCATTCCGCTATATATTTCCCTTTCTAGTATTGTAACTTTAGCTTCCAAAACTATTGCCTTATCTGGCCATTGTATGGATCATTAAAGGAGTAGGTGAAAGATGAAAAATAACACAAATGATACTATTCAAGTGTTCTCTGTGACCAACAAGAAAAATCTGTTGCACTTAAAAGACTGTTCTTTTAAAGTCAAGGTTAAAAAATGAAAAAAAATTTTCGATTGTTGGGTGCTGCTCCAAAGTTTTGCCCTGTTCTACAGAGTTACTCTGTAGCATATTTTGTGCATTCTCATGACTTTATTTGGTAAAATGACATAGCAGTCAAATAATAATAAGGTGCATTGTAATTATGTCACCAGCAGAGCCCATGGGCGATATAAAGCAAACCCTGTGGTCTGATTGGCTACCTAAGTGGGCAAATTGGGCCCATCTTGCCTACTATGATCCTGCACAAGAAGAACATTGTGTGAAGTGGACCTACAAATTTCATAAGTTTTGGACAGTATCTGCCAAGGAGACACAAAAAGCAGCAGAAGACAGTCAAAACAAAGAAAAAATAAACAACTCTTGTGGGTTTATTGTGCTATAAACAAAGTTGTCTGTCTTCCTGGCTCGTGAAATAAAAACATTTCAAGTGATTTCTGATTCCTCATTGAGCAAAATCTTTTGGTTATGAAATAAATCCTTTATTGACCAAGTCTATTTGGTCAAGATGGCTGGATATTAGCCATGTTCTTTTTTTACGTTTTTATGAACCTCAACTCTGTCTTGGTCCATAAAAATGCGGAAAAACAACTTGGCAAATATCCAGCCATCTTGACCTCACGCTTGGTCAATAACGCTTAGACATTAATTAAAGATATCAATCAAAACACAAAACAATTTTGTATGGTAAAGGAGGACTAAAATTGTGTCAATAATTTGACAATAGAGACCACCAACATGAGCCTTAGAATGCTTAGCACTCTATTTGATCACCCAGTGAGTTGCAACCACCAATAACCTTATGTTACAGATCTCCTTATGATTTAGACTCAAAACCATGGCAGTCTCATGCACGGTTATTAATTAGGCTCTTTGGTGTAACGCAGTGAATATATATATGTGACCACTTATGTCTAAGAAATAAGTAAAAAATAATCTCTTGGCTGTGACCATGAAAGAAGGATTTATCTACAAAAATAGGGCTTCACAAATGATGATTTGTTCGCATAAAACAAGACATTTTGAATCAAACTTGATATGCGTGCACCAGACATACTCAATTAAGCATATGCAAGCTGAGGCTTTCAACACACAACTTACTTGTCAAGAATAAAGTAGATATCAAATCCACCAAGGCATCTTTGCTGGGAAGAAACAAGTGTAATGCCGATCCAGGCCTGAAGCAAAGCAACAAGGAGAAACTTATGTCGTAAAACCGACATGATTTGCATCCACAACAACAGCTTTCCAGTCTGGTGGGCGCCAAATCGACAATTGTTTCAGAATCTAGTTAATTCCTTGCGACAGCTAAGCGCTACAGTCTGAGGAAAGTGTAGAAGACTGTACAACAGTAGTGACACCTATACAGTGATACACAACAAAAAATTCCTCTTTGTGTAATGTCAAAAGGCCTGATTCCGGTACACGTAAAGCGCTGGCTCTGCCAAAACAACTCCACTTCCGTTCGATGCTTTGCCACCTGGCTTCTTTGGTTGGCCGTGCTGAAGCACAAGCTCTGAAACAGCACATTCTCATGCACTCGCAATAATGAAGGAAATGGGCAAAATTTATATGGTATGTACAAACTCTGCAACATTTTTTTTTAAAGAAATACATCTTTTATAGAAGTTTCCTATTCTTTTGCTTACTCTCCCTGACAAGTGGTTCTCGCCGCGACCCATCCCTCGCTCGGCCATAAATCTCCCCTCGCCGCACCGGAAGTATTGGAATAAGTGTTGCAATAGAGAGTGAGGTGGAGTTTCCGGGAAACAACTTTAATCGCAGTTTTTGCCATAACATCTTTTGTTCTTCCTTTTTGGGTAAAAAATTTTTCTTCTTGCCTCAGCATCCCAGCCACACAGTAAAAATGATTTCTTCAGGGGACACGTACTGAGCAAAAACAGAAAAAGTTGGGAATGATAAATAGAGGATATGTAAAAAAAGGGGCCACCATGCACCAGGATTTTCGATTTTGCGTTTTTTAATATTTTTTAGATCGGTTTTCCGGCTTTAATGTAAAAAAAAACTTTGGTTTTTCGGTTTTGTTGTTCATTGCGTTTTGCGGATTTTCCGTTTTTCAGCATTTGGTCGACGTGAAAAATACTAATGGATTTTAGGATTTGGTATCCGGTGTGGGTTTCGGTTTTTCCTATTCGAGTTCTGGTTTCTCCTCGATCTGAGCGACAATTATGCACCTCCACCGATCTCGAATAGCTGCGAAACCTCTGTATGCTCCACTTAATTATCACCACTGAATCGGATCGATCAGGGTTTTGTTAACTGAGATGTGGAATTCATCTATCGGTTTTGACGGTTTTTCGTGCAGTTTTCGGTTTTAGTCGAATTTTTCTACGATTTCGCTGTTTTGGATGTTTTTTCTACGATTTTGTGGTTGCTAAAAGACCCCAATGCCCCCCTCATAAGCAATAACCTCCATTTGGCGCGAAAATATGCACGGATATTTATCCTCGAAGCTCACAGTTTTCCTCGAGCCTCGCTCACGGAAAACTGTTCGCACATCGGAACAGATAATGTCCAAGGACAAAATAAGAGCACATTTTCGAGACAAATGAGACTACTGCATCCTTTAAATATTTTGCAACGCGTGAGAAAAAACGTTTACGAACAGCTTACTGTATGCAGTTAGAGCATACCCGGTATTTCACTGTACGACCTCTAAATTAAAACCTTTAATTGAACTGATATCTTCCCCCTCTATTCAAACCCAGAGATGTAATAAATATCTTACTGACCTTGTTTTTGTCGGACCGCACTGTAAGATACGGAACCCCGTTTTCTCGGTGCAGATTTATGCCCCGCCTGCTTCGCGATTGGGCCATAAATCTGACCGGGAAAAACTCGGTCCGTGACTTACAGTACGGACCTCAACTCTTTTAGTAGCTGGTATCGACTACTAGGTTTTGCGCAATGCAAGGAAAGAAAAGGGTGTAAGCCATTCTTCTTTCCGTAAACACACACGTTCAGTTTTAGGTTGAGAGGTTTCGATTGAAAAAGCCGCACACCCACACACGGTTCAAGTCCCAACGGGATTTCCATCCCAGCTGAAAGTTGTGAGATTGAGCTGTAGTTCGCTCTATGAAATCTTTCGGCATATTGTGGACTAAAAATAATTCCCCACACATGACTGTTTGCGCGTGACGGAGCTGGAGAAACTATCGATCTCTGTTCTTGACAAATATGTTTGAATTCATAGTTTCACCTTCAACTTGAACGAGCCGATTCCCTCTAACAGCAACTACATTTCTATTTTAAGATCTTTAAAAAGTAAGGTATGATGCCATTCACTCTGACGAAGGGCAAACGCTTGAAACGTCTGCTTTTGAAACTCTTTACGGTGCCCTATTTAAATTAGAGAATTTAAGCAAACCACGACGGCGAGGGCAATGAGAACGTGGAAAAACAGGAGATCTAATTGAAAGAACAGTAGCCTCGCACGTGCGTTCTAAAACTTTGTACATTTCTTACCCGTCCTTTGCAAGACAACAACGTGAAATCCCCAAACTTTGCGTCGTCTGCGAACCGAAACCGCGCGGCAAATTATTTTAATTTACATTTGGAACTCAACGCTACTTTTATGCGTTATCTTGGGTTTGAGCGGGTCTGGCGCCCTATGAGACGGTAAACACATGCAGCCATTTTCGAAATTCTAACTAAAAGTAGAAACTAATTTTTAATCGACGTCTTCCGTGGCGTTGCCGTCGTGACTGCTTAAGTTCCCTAATATCAAATCAGGTGATAAAACCAAATTATCTTGATGCTAGGCTGATATGATTTGATTTACTCTATGGTCAATTAAAACTAAGTGGATTAGAAGTAGAAAAAAAACTTCCATGATAAACCAATAGCCAAAGGGAAATAACAGTAAATGTTTTATTTCGCAATTGTAAATCACGCATGCTAAGCCCTGGTAGGGTGACATAAAGAAATGACTCACTATTGTCTCATACAATACATCTATGGTAACGAACCGCTTGTAAAGATTTCCCAGATTTCTTACATAAAAAAAATTATGTTGTCCTTCTAGTTCGTACAGTTAGAGACATATATGTACGGGACAAGATGAAGAATTTCATCAAAGAAAATGAACAAGTTACACAGCTGTATGCGCTACGAACAGTACAACATTTTTCCTTTGCAGAGATAATTACAAGAGTGTAACTTGATATCATTGTTCTTGTCTTTTTTTTACCTATGAGTTCATATTAAATATAATTAAACACAATTAACAACTAGAATACAAAAAAATTTAGCTTTGCCTGTCGATACCTCAAAAAGGTTTACTTGCAATACACAATTTAAAAACCTTTCGCCATAAACACAGGCACTCTTCTGTCAGTATGTAAATGTTGTTAGTTTGCCCTCACTGTGCGCCCAGAAAAACCATGTCCTACATACATATTTCACTTCCAAAGATATTTTGAAGGATTGCAATTGGAAAGTTCATGCAACATTTTCTGGTTAAAAATCACACTCTGAAAAATCACTAAGCTGAATCTGTCCCAAAAAAAGTGAGAACACTGGATAAATCATTGACAACAATTTTGAAAATGCTTTTGTTTACCGTCGGAAAACTGAGAAGCGACGGATTCAGCATTTTTGATAAATCCTTCCAGTTTGACCACAAAAGTAGATCATGTACTTACTTTAAGAAAACAGTCACGAAGAGCTTGAATCATCTACATGTTAGATATTAACTCCTATGTGTTTTACAGTTGAGAAATTTAATTGTTTTAGAGAGATGAGACTAGTTTCCAGGACGCACTCGTTAGTGAGGGCAGGTCTAACCTCAGCAACCCGTTACTGTCGGGTCATCCCCAGATCTCTTGGTGATATGCATCTTCACGACCTCTTCTGCGCATGTCGGATGAATGCCAACAGTCGATGACAAGCTCTGGTAACTTAAGCCACACCTTTAAAATAAAACGAAGAACAAATCTCATGAAGAATACATACATTAATGACAGTAAAAGTGATTTACGGAAAAGTTTCGAGATAGACGTTTTGCGTCGTCATGTCCTCATCGAAAGAAACTCAAAAGTCAGTTGCGGCAAATAGAGAGAACACAAACCGGAACTTTTCAATAGGAGTCTCTATCGCTCATACTCAGCCTTAGAACCAACCCTTTCCGGAGTAGATCTATAAATAGAAAGGCTCACAGGAGAAGTTTCATGGTCTCGGTTCCAATCAAAATATGCTAAGACAATGCGATCATTTTACTTCACACATCCGCTAGCATGCACTAGGCAGTGAAAGCAGATTTTGCGATTCGCCGTCGACTCGAAGGAAATATGATACTTTTCGCGGGAAAACGCCCTTCTGTAAATAAATCTACACGAGAAAGCTTTGACTCAGGAGATAGGGGCTCCTGACACAGGCAATCAACAAAACTTGAGCGTGAACATACTCAGAATGTTATGACCGTTACCATGCCTGTATTAATTACGACTTAGAAACCACTTCCTCTGATTCACTCAAATATCAAGAACCACCTTGATTTGCCGCAAACCATGGTGGTTCAAGCTTTGCCTAAGAATGCACACGACGACGCATTCACGCTAGAAACAAAAGTGCATTACTTTCCGCTATCATATACAGAGAGGCCGTTCCAGTACTCATTTTTTGTATCCCAACTCTAAACTCCCAAATAATTGTGAAATGATGAAACTCTTAGCCTATCCCTTCAGGAAATAAATTCAGGCGAATTTCCGGTCGTGTTTTGGTAGAAAGCCAGGCAAAGTTCACCTCATGGCAGCAGAGAATCCCTGAATCACTTCCCCTGCTGAAGGACCAAGGAAATGAAGACCTAAGACTTGCTGATCACCTTCACGCAAGCAGACGACCTACAAAAAAAAAGGAAAAAGAAAAGAAAACTTAAATAACTTGAACTGAATTTTGTAGTTTTTCAAACCTATGCTGAAGCAGCTCAGACTGCAGAGAGGTGTTCTTTCTCCTTTCCATGTAAGCCGAAGTGAAGAGGCAAGGGCCTGCACTAACACAACACTGACTCAGCAGATGATTTACTTCTCTTGTCAAAGAAGAGAACGAAAAGTAGTAAATTTCTAAAACGCAAAAAATAACTATTATACAATACAATTAACAAAATAGGAAGGGAAAAGAAATACAAACAAACGACAAGGAAAAAAAAACTTGGCAAATGCCGAAAGAGATATCGCAAACACAGTGAACACACAGACCGCAAGGGCTAAAACAGAGAACAAGAACAAACCGAATGAAAGAAGAGAAACACGGAGTATATAGAGCGGGGATAAAAGTGGTTAGCAAATACAGCGATGCACTTACCTTCATGTAACACTGCTCCACTTTTCTCTCTGGTACGGTAAATTCTAGTGGTTTGTAGAAAGCGTGATAAACCTAGGAAGGAAAAAGAGACAACTAAACATTATTTAAACATTTTCACGAGATAATGAAAGGTACTCTAATTAATAAATAAGAAATAACCTCAATGTTGTCTTCCCCGTGACACTCAATAGCTTTTTCTTCAGACATTCCAACTGTTCCAAACTCCAATGGAGTAAAAACTGTTGTCGCCACCTAAAGTTGAAAAAAGAGAGGATGGGAATATTGTTATCATAAACGCACTAAGATATTTTATAGTCCCCAGAAAATGACACGTTTGTGTTAATACATCTTTAAAAAGTGTGCATTGGGATGTCTGTGATATCTGTGATATCAGCACGGAGCGAGAAATACCCTGTTCCAGAAGTGGTGAAATGATCGAAATGGTAAACAGCGGAATAGCAACGAGGAAGGTTGGGTCGGGTCGCGTAGAGTTCATTATGCGCCCCTACCCAGACCTTCCTCGTTTTTTCACTCCTCCGCCACAATCGCGCCGTATATAATCGCGTTTCGTTTTACTGACACCTGGAATAAACTCAGTAAACAAATAAGGGAAGTTCTTGGACGAGTGTTTCATGTGACACGTCTAAAACCTCCCTTCGTTTTTGACTCTAAGCTGCTATCGCGGCCTGTTTACTAACTGAACGCTTCGAACAAGCTAAACAAGCTGAAAGATTGTTCGTCGGTGCTCAACCGTTAAGAAACGCGTGTTGGACCTGTAACATACCTTGTCGTAATCCACTGCGACGTCAGATCCCCCAAACAGCCTATCCGCAAGGAGTTTTCCCGCTCTGATGGCTACAGGTGTCAGCTCTGGACGATCCTGTTCCCAAAAAATTGCAGTTCTCAAAAAAAAAACCTCGCAAGTTTAAAATACATCAACTGGTTCGGAGGAGCTATTGCTTTGCTCATTAGATCTTTTGTTTCGCTACGTTCTCGTTGTCGTCGCCGTCGTGGTTTTCTTTAAGTCCCTATTAATAATTCTACAAAGACATCGTAAGCAGGTTTTCTTTAAATGCACAACACAGTTGGTTCTCACCTGAACGACATCCCCGATGGCGAAAATGTGCGCTACTGAAGTTTGCTCCTCGTCATTGGCTTTAATCTTTCTGGTCTGTTGATCCAGTTCAACCCCGGCTTTCTCAAGATTCATCTGTAAAGTCTCAGGATCTCTACCTTAAATAACAATAAACCGTCTTAATCAGTTGTTTTAGTATGTACTCTCTCAGGGGGGTCGGGAAGTCGGCGACTCAACCCGCTACCCCGCCCCTTAGAGGGCGTGGAGGCTGAAACTGGGCATAATGTTAGAATTCAAACAACATCTGTCTCAAGCTCTGCGGTGGACCACTTCTAGTTACTCGGTGTGAGACTGGACATCCTGGTAGATGAACAACACATCTATCGCAGGGTCCGTGGGGGACTTTTGCCAGTCGGTGCATCGTGACATGCACTACACAAAGAGCAGAGACAACAAACCTATCGTCTGGTCAGTCACTGCAACAGATACTAGAGTCAGTTTGTCTTGGCCTGTCCTTGGTACTTATTACACCTCTATCTGCTCCCCCTCCCCCCCCCGACAGACTGCTATGATGAGGGTGATGATGAAAACAGGGGATAATATAGCAAGATGACTTTAACTAATTCATTCTTGCAACGATCACAATATTCTTGGGCTCAAATCCCACGAGAGTTGCTTGGAGGTGGAGTAGCCGATCAGAGCGCGTCTTCGACGATATCAATTATTAGAATAATTGTTACCACGGGAATCAAATTGATACGTATGTCACAAGCAAACCTCCGGTAACAATTAAATCATATTGAGAGTTACCGAATGCAATATATGAAGGCAAGGCTCAAGGATCACTTTTCATTCTCTAATTACTTGGTTAATTAATTAATTCTTTAAGTATGAAATTAACAACGTCGTAAGCTTAAATTGTGTGTTGTTTCGTGAAAAATTCAGAAGACTCCGACATTGGCTTAAAGGCTTCCCAACAGTTTTTTTTTTACTCGTCGAAAAATCGGCAGATATGAGATTCTGAGAAAACACTCGAAGAGTACTTGGGGCCAATTATTCGTCAACATTTTAAACCGCCTTTACCAACAAACCCACATCAAAAGTTTCAAATTAAAGAAACCCTTCCCTCTATCAGCTAAATGTCGGCAAATCTCACAAATGATCTTTCTTTCTTTCTTTCTTTTTCAACTCTTTTTATCGCTACTTCAACGTAACATACTTCTATCAGTAATGTAATCTTGGATATCGGTTTTGATGAAGTTCTTACCAATTGCAAACAGAACAGTCTCAAATGGTTCTTGGCATGTTTCTCCTGTCACAGATTCCTTCCATGTTACGTGAAGAAGTCCATCATCAGCTTTGTCTATCCGCACGGGAATACATTGCTTAAGGAATCTTGTTCCATGGCCCTCCATGTAATCGGTAGCGAGTTGTGCCATTTGCTACATGGAGAAAAAAGGACACGACTGACATTGTTTTCTTTGTTTCGAAAACAAACCAATATCGCAAAAAACGAAGCAAAAAAAAAAAATACAAATAAAGGAAACATGTATCCTGTGGCCCATATACAAACCGGAAGTATAACGTTTAGAAAGTGAATAGTGTGTGAGGAAGATATTCCCTTAAAACAAGCGTAAAGATTTTCTTCAATACAAAATTGATAGGGAAAACAAGTTCCCTTTGCACAGGTTCGACAATTTTTTGGAGTCTCCTGATAGAATTGCCACCTATCGTTTCATGCTCGAAACCGCGCGTTTCATCACAAGGCTTGGTGCTGATGGGACGAAGCAAGTGGTGGAATGATTTCCCTTTTTTTTTTTGTTTTTTGTTTTGTTTTGTTTGTCTTATTGGGAAGGAGGGAAGGAAATAAAGGCTATTTCTAGTTTAAAAGCCTTTTTATGGGTGAAGCCTTTTCCTTTAATTGCTATCCGGGATAACAGGGTTTTCCGATCAAATTGAAGCACCAAAGAGGTAAGTGCCAGGCATGCAGAGAATGCAATATACAACCTGTGCCAAGCGAGGCATTACCGTTTTAAGTCCTTCCCTCCGACTCCTCTCTTTGGCTAAACTCATGCACCTTCCACGTATGTAAATTTAACACAGCTCGAGGGTTTCAATAACTTTTTTCCATAAGCGGCGAAACCCAAACACGAGAACCTGCACGCGCGCTCAACAGACGGGTGTTACGAAAACTAAGACCCTCGAAAACTAAGACCTAAGACCTAAGACCTAAGATCCGCCTTAGTTTTCGAGATTACGACAAGTCGTAATTCGACTTTGTAGAATATTTTACAGATTGGTTTGGTGGGGGTCTTAGTTTTGGAAAAGCCGCTTTAGGGGGGAGCTTCGATTAACGTTGCACTTGCACTTAAGACCCGTCTTAGTTTTCGAGATATAAAGTCAAATTGTAACCAAAACAGATCTAATCTGTAAAATTATCTCCTGTCTGATCCTTTCCACCGAGTTTTAGGTCAAATTTAACCGGGTAAATTTAGGGGTCTTAGTTTTCGTAATTTCGAAAACTAAGACCCCTCTTAGTTTTCGTGATTACAAAATTAAGACCCCCACCAAACTATTCTGTTTAATTTCTACCAAGTCGAATTGCGTATAATTGTACACTGAAAATATGCCTTTCCCCTACTGGTCTCCATACACCACTTTCATAAATGGCTGCCGCATGGATATTCTTTTGTTTAAATTCAAACTAGCCTCACTAGCCTCGCTTGAGATAATGTATTCTTATGAATATTGAACTGGTGAACGAGGCCAGAAAGGCTAATTTAAATCTAAACAAAAGAATATCAATCCGCCAGCCATTTATGAAAATGGTCAATTTGAGATGGATGTTTCTCTTCGTGACTCTGCGATCGAGATTGCGTTACCTGTGACAGAGCTGAATAACGTATACGCACGCGGTAGGTTTTGGCGCGCCCCGGAAACTTGGATTTTGAGTCGGTCGCATACCTGATCGTCAAGTATGATAATAGTTTTTGGATTTTTTGCGAATTATAGTCATTGAACGGTCGTAATTCGACTTTGTAGAAATTTTACAGAATGGCTCGGTGGGGGTCTTAGTTTTCGTAATCACGGAAACTAAGAGGGGTCTTAGTTTTCGAAATTACGAAAACTAAGACCCCTAAATTTATCGTTAAATTTGACCTAAAGGATGGTGGAAAGGATCAGACAGGAGATCCTTGACAGATTAGATCTGGTTTGGTTACAATTGACCGCCTCTCAGTTAGCTCAATGGATAGAGCGCTGGACTGTTGTGCGGAGGCTCGCGGGTTCGAGTCCCGGCCGGACCAACACTCAAGGTCTTAAATAATTGAGAAGAATATGCTTCCTTTCTATAACATCAAGAAATGGTTAGATACTCTAGTATTCTCGGATAGGGACGAATAAATGGAGGTCCCATCTCCTGCAGGAGGGGTAGGAGACGTTAATTTCCCACGCACGAGATTACTGAGTGATGGATGTCCTCCCTCGGGGTGGGATGGGTGGGTTGGGTTTAAGTAGATGAACCTACTAGGGGACTATGTGTCCTTTTTTTCACCTGTACAGTGTACAATGTACAAATCTTTAGAAACGAAACGAAATTTGACTTTATATTTGAACGGATTCGATTTTAGGGGGTCTTAGTTTTCGTAATCTCGAAAACTAAGACGGGTCTTAGGTCTTAGCTTTCGAGGGTCTTAGTTTTCGTAACACCCCTCAACAGACGGCGGTAATAGGTCTTAATGGCGAGGATAGACCACCGCCAACTGGCTTTTATGAAAACTCCCAAGAGCTATTGTAACGAATTAAAATATCTTATGTAACAATCTCAGTGTAAAGTCCAACCTGGTCAAATCCTCTGAGTGGAATGGATCGCATCATAATAGACGTGTCATATCCTAAACCGGTCAGGAAACCAGCACACTCCAAGGCAACATCTTACATGAAATAGTGTTAAGAAAAGCATTAAGCCACTGTACAAAATACTTAGAGGGCACCACTGTGTTTTAAACCAACTCCTTGTTCTTGATTGTTTTGTTTTTTGCTGTTGTTTCCGTGGGAGTATGTGTATGTGCATCGACAGTGTCAAGAAGGCTGACAGCTAACGTGGCAAAATCAATTGCTTCCTTATAGAGAAAGCTCAAAATCCATTGATTGTCAAAAAACCACAGCCTGAGTTAGACTCATACAAAAAAATAACTGGAACTATCATATCTCTCAGTTAGTACGTACGATGCGATTGGTCGATTTAGTGGAGCATATTTCACTGTATGGCCCGCTAGATTCAAAAGTTTTGTGGAATTGAAATATTTCCCTCTGTTTGAACCTAGTAATATGAATAATATCTTACTGACCTTGTTTTCTTGCTCCATACTGTAAGTTACTAAACCTTGATTCTTCTGCTCAAATTTATGGCTGAAGCGTGAAAAAACTCGGTCTGTAACTTACAGTATGGACCTTGAACTCGGTTAGTAAGGGGTATATTGAAATATTTTTCAAACTATTCAACTTATTTAAATCTATGGGGCTAGTTTTCGAATTTGAGATAAGTATTAGTACAGGTAATGTAAGCAAAGTAATGAGGCGAATATCAGAGGCATGTCAGGTTCCATTGAATCTGAACAAAAGAATTGATCACCATGTCAAATATAACTAGATACATTTTGAAATAACACACATTTAGATGCAATTGCATTGGTGAGTAACAATATTTCTATGATCTGCTCTCTTCTTAATACATCACTTTTTTTATAATTTTAATTAGAGAATGAGTTGTTAAACAACTGTTCACCAAAGTGGAGGTGGCTAGTGTTGGCTATTTCCTGTAGAGCAAAGCTGCTTGGTAAATAATCACTGCTAGCCACCCGCAATAAAGAGGCTATTTATTTTAGTATAATACTAAAACAGTAAGATTAAATGGAGCACAAATAGATTATTTTAACTCCTTTGTGCCTTCAACAATTACAATAATTTGAGGCCCAAATCAAACACAAGTAGTAAAGAAGGGATATTCAGAGTTTGAGTAGCAAATCAGGGGACACCTTCAATGCTATCCACCATTTTACTATATACTAAATCATACTATTGATATTTGAAATCTGATTGGTTGTTTTGCTAGGTATTCCATTCTCATCGATTGTAGAAAACAAAATGAGATTTGGGCAAAAATTTGTGTGATTCTGCAGCAAATTGCATCATTGCAAACCAATCAGATTCATTTGGTCCAGTGATTAGACAGATGTATCGGTAATAACAGTTGAAATTGGTGAGAAATAACTCCACAAAATATAATAAGGATACAAGACGCCCCAATCACTAACCTGAAAAATAGTAATAAATGTAAAAGTTGTAAAGAGAAAACACTTCCACAAAAGGAAGGCAATACAGTAATAACTATCTTGACAGGCAAATCATCTGCAATCTTTGTAGGGGAGGGGGAAGGGACTGTTCACTTCAGTGAGTGATCAAGTCAGAATTTCTCCATACAATACCAATACAATATCAAGCAGACAAGTGATGAGAATAAAGAAAATGGAAATTAAGGTATTATCAGTTGATCCAATGTCAAATCATCAGAACTACCATGATCATGATAATAATTGTACGGCAGACATTTAAGAGAAATTTAAGTAATAAGTGCTTGAGTTTGGAAGGGTTAACAAGAAACTAATCAATTTCAAGTTATAAATCAAATCAGGTACATAAAACAAATCTATAGTGGTTTAATGTGGTCTGTACTCTTTTCAACAATGATATTTGTTGTTGTGGACTCGCAAGGCATGGCTGAGTGAGTCCTCAAAAAATATTGACCACTGTCAAGATGAATATCATTGTCCATGAGAGTACAGACCTTATTAAACCACTGTTTTTTACCATAATATTGATATTAAGTAAAACAATTATTTCAATTTACGACCATTGTATTACAGGTTGGTGCTAGCAGCGTTACCTCTACTCTTATAACAACAATGGCAAATTGGTGAATCAGATTGCAACATTACTGCCAATTGTGGTATAATTCTAAACATAAACAAGTACTGAAAATCACCAAAAGTTAACATATGGAAGATGAATACCAGTGAGTCAGACTTACGTTTTACCAGGAGATTTTTTCAAGGAAAAAATATCGTCACTGCTGATAGCATACTCTATGGCACCAGGAACCTCGAAAAAAATATTGCAGAAAATTATGACTAAGAAAAAGCTTCTCAATAACAAAGACAAAGTTTTAAATCTAAAACTAAAATGAAAATAAAGTTCTAGCATTTCCAAAATTCTAGTATACAAGCAGGACCTCATTGAGCAGTTCATTGCTGGCAGGAAAGAATCAGGCCTTCATAACTTATACCATATGGCGTGTTTTCAGGGTCAAAATTCAAATTCTTGTTGCACTTCACTCTGAATTCCGAATTCACATCACTGCATGACAATTGCATTCACAAAGTAACCCCGTTATAGTATTTTAATAAAAAACAAGCCATCATCTACGATTATGAAATAAAAAGTACACGTTTCGATTTCACAAAAAAGTTTTCCCGTATTAAAAAAGTAAACAATTTCAAAAATATTCCCCCTCCAATAGTTTTTACAAGTTTCTAATAAAATGTAAATGCACACAATTTTTTTCTAGAATTTAAAATGTCTTTACACATTCTGCAATCACGTATGTCGCTATACATTAATTCTGAATTTAGTAAATGCATTTTGAATTGAATAAACACATTTTGAATTGAATACTTTTTGCCAGGCGTTCCTGGCGGAATTCTGGATGGCCTGGTCACTTGTTTAGAAGCGCATCTCTTACGACTTTTTAGCATGTATGCCACTTCTGCAACTACTGCACGTGTCGTGAAGAGTGCTTTTAGTTCAGATCTGTAGAAATGGACAGTTCTATGAATACAGCGCTCCGCAATTGTGCTGATCGGCTTCTACAAACTGCTCAATTGCTTTGCAGGCCGTCAAATCCATCAAACTCATCGATGTAAAATGGGGTTGACAGGCCAACAGGACTCCCCAGCATGTGTTTAGAGTAGCCTATTCAAAGTTTTGCCCCATAAAGTATGTCTTTGGGCGACCATCCTCTTTTGTAAGATACGGATTTTTGTGTATTTCGTTCAGTAGTGGTTGTGTTTCTATTAAATGCCAGTGTCTCATGCCGAAACAAAGCATAATCAGCTACATCTTCACTGACATCTTGGTGCAATCGTCGGGATAAATCCAAAAGAGTGAGCCTCATGCTTTGTAAAAACTGCCATTGCTCCGTTGTAAAGGTTGTATTATCTGCAAGTTGTGCCATCCACATAAAAAAAATACAAAGATACAACTATGAGCAGTTCAGAGTACGTTTTCGAGTGGTTGCTTTTAGACACAAGAGCCGCTGGTCAAAAAGCGAAGTTCTGAACAAGCGACCAGGCCATCCAGAATTCTGCCAGGAATGCCTGGCAAAAAGTATTTAATTCAAAACGCGTTTATTCAATTCAAAATGAATTTACTAAATTCAGAATTAATGTATAGCAACGTACGTGATTGCAGAATTTGTAAAGACATTTTAAATTCTAGAAAAAAATTGCGTGCATTTATATTTTTTAGAAACTTGTAAAAACTATCGGAGGGGGAATACTTTTCAAATTGTCTATGTGTTATACTTTTTATTTCAAAAACGTAGAGGATGGCTTGTTTTTGATTAAAATACTACAACAGGGTTATTTTGTGAATGTAATTTTCATGCAGTGATGTGAATTCGGAATTCAAAGTGAAATGCAATAAGAATTTGAATTTTGACCCTGAAAACACACCATAATACCAGACCCCTGGCAAACCTCTCCCAAAATTATCTCAAATCCTCCTCCCAGGTGGAGAAACATAAGTCCCGCAGCACCAAAAACAAGGGCCTTTTTGAGGGTTACCAAAAACTCTACACCATCGCCCTCCACATTATGCACCACCCATTTGATAATAGTAATTATTAGGAAAACAAATGTCAAAAATAACAACTTCATAAATACTCTGAAATTCACAAGACTAACCTCCTTAGGAAATTTTGGTCTTCCACCAACAGCAATTACAAAATGATCTGCCTTCATAGTTGTCTAAAATGGTTTAATATAAAAACAGCAATCAGCTAACCTGGACACATAACAAATACTAACTGACATGCAAAGCTTGGAGTCTGATGAAATCTGGGTACCTTGGCCTTACAAGGCTAACAAAGTTGTTTGTTTTCTAAAGAATGGCCATGACAATCATTTTTTTAGGCAATGAAGATACAACAGGCTATCAGGCAAAAACGTCTGAGTATAGTACAATTTGTTATGCTTGCAAAGTTGGTCTGATTTTAACCATTTCACTCCTTAGATCTCTGTAGCAATAGTCCTTTTTACAGTTATGGGCTTGGTGGCCAAGCCTTTGAACAGGAGTGAGGCTAAGAGTGACCTTGTTATGATAGAGATGTTGCTGCTTTTCAAATGCAAATTACTTTGTTATCATGCTAACTAGATACAGGTCTCTATCACAAGAGGGTCACCCTTAGCCTCACTCCTGTTCAAAGGCTTGGCCACCACGCCCACAACTGTAAAAGGACTATCCTCCTTACTATTTGTCATACAGTTCTTATGATGTTAGATTGGAGAATTTGGTATTGGATCAATTCATTATTCCCTTATTGACATCTTTCTCTATTCTCATCACTTATCTCCTTGATTTTGTGTTGATATTGTAAGGAGAAATTCTGTCTTGATCACTCATGGGAGTTCAGGGGTTAACTATGTTGGAGAAATCCAATATCAGACAAATGCAGGGGTTTCATTAAGACCTGGGCACTGGGCAAATTGACCAGTTGTGAGGACAATTTTGCCCACCTGGTTTGACCATCTGGAGGAAAGTTTATATTATAAAGAGGCTCAGCTGAAAACGTTTTGCCTGCCTAAGAAAACCAGTTGCCCCACTGCTGAAAATGTTAATGAAACCCCTGGAATGGAACCTATATCCCTTGTTTTGGAAATAATGTTTTTTTTTGTCAAACACTCCAACTTATCTCTTTCAATTGTTATATTTAACATGCTTCAAGATATTGACTTGACATGCAGTATTTAATAACATTTTAGCAATACCAACATTACTTGTGAGTATTAATTTTACTTATTGAACAATACTAACATAAACTCAATGCAAATAAGCTAATAACTTACAATCTCAATTAATATTATTATTTGCTTAGAGTGCAAGGTTACGGTATATCAAATGTTACCCTTCTTATCATTTTCAATTTTTACAATATGCATACTGCCTACAGTACAAAATCAATTTGATAAAAAGTTTAATTTTGTACCTCAGTACCATTTTTCAGTACTGCCTTGATTGTATGAGAGTCCAAAAATGATCCTTTTGCATTAACATATTCAACTTTCCTTGAAAACAAAAAGGAAATAATTATCAATAGCTACCCCTGAGATTTGGAAAATAAGGATAGTTGATGACAGATATGCAATCGGCATCAAAGTGATGTCAGTAATTGCTAAACTGCAAATTAAAATAGAGACACTGTTGTCCACATCTTCTACAATTGTTTCAAGAAAGGGTGTTTAAGGAGAAAGGACAAAAGTGCACATGACAATCACAAAGAGTACTTGAAGTTTGCAGTAATCAATGAGTTTCAATATTTTGCAAAATATTGAGTACATTAATTCATCAAACCCCTTATGCCTCATCCTTACAGTTACATTTTCTCAGATTTCCCTGAATTCCTGAGGCAAGGAAACATGAAAACGTGACCTGAATACTTAACCAACCCTACCTTTAGGAGGTTGTTGCATGCACTTTTACTCTAACACTTTTTTTCTAACAACCTTTCTAAAAACTGCTGTATACCAAAGATAACTTACTAGAAAGAGGTCATTACACACATGGAAACATCAAATCAGAGCTTTTCAACATGTTTTATGCATTTGAGACTTACTTGTCATGTAACTGGACTCGGTGGCCCCAGTTTAATGATCTGACATGATTCTGTACTGCCGTCACAAGCACTTCCCTACAAAAACAATACAATGGTTTTCAACATGATCTGCAATAAAGCAAAAAGATTAGTACATTATAATTATTGTAACCAGAAGAACTTCCTACCATGAAAAATTTATGTTATCAGGGACATTCCATCCAAAGTGTTTTGCATCCTAAAGAGGTGTAAGGTTGGCATAATATGTTAGAGCTGAGAACCAGTTTTGTTTAATTACTATATTCCCTCAACCAAGGAAAATAAAAAACAAACAACTTTGATATCATTTAATTGGCAAACTTTGCCTATCTATATCTATCTTCTAAGTTTCACCAGTAACCAGACATCACTTAAACTAACAACATATACATGCAGAAGGCATTGCTTCTCCAACCTCTTAGTATTTGATATATTCATTTGTTAAACCTGCCAACTGAAGATAATTTATTCACCAACAGTCCTGTGCTTTGGACAATAGAGAATTTTACAGAAGTTTAAGGAGCATACATAGAAAATGAGATGGCTACACACTCAAGATACTTTCAAAACTGTAACGAATTACTATAATTATGATAATTGTATTGTTAAGAGTTAATTGTACCTTCAATGACTCTCCTAACAGTGCCGCTTGATGCATCAACTTCTTTGGAATACATCCCACATTAACACAGGTTCCACCCAGGCCCCAGACAGACCCTTTGAAAATAAAACATGAAACAATATACAAGCAACACTAATACTTATTAAGAACTTTTGTTTCCTTACAGATAAAATGTTACTGCAAGTTAGAACTACAATGAGTGGCAAAAGTGGTTGGCAAACCTCCCCTCAGAAGGTGGTCAACAACCCTCCGGTCAACATAATAAACAAGGTTGTCTGGTGGAGACCATTTTTTAACTCTAACATCAGCAACAGGCAATGTTGGAGCTGGGTAAAGGGGAAGACAAATAAGAGTTTTAGAAAAAAATCTAAGTATTACAGAATGCCAACAATTTTGCTACTCATTGCAGTTGACAATAACAGCAAACCAAAATGTTGATTGTACCTTGAGGTGATGGGGAAACGAAATCCAATACAGCAACTTTTTTTCCATATTTTGCAGCTGTAAGATGCCAAAAGTAACAGTACAAGTTAATTTACCACCAAGTGGTAAAGCTCTCCCTTAGCTGTTTAAAAAGCCTTCATGATTTAATATTAAGAGTTAATGACTTCCCCTTACCTTCTTTTGAGCAGGCAAGCCCACCAGACCCACCGCCAATTACAATGAGATCATATTTAGAAGAGTCTACAACAACCAAGAAAAGTAAAATAGTGATAATTAACTCCTTTATTCTCTAGGATTAGTATTCATATTGTACACACTGTTCTTGTTATACTTCCAGAAGGCGCTCACAACAAGAATGTGTGGCAACCAGGAGCTTCTTAAATTGGTGACCATATTACCATAACAACCTGCAGATAAGCCACACCAAAAATTGTCACTAGAAATTGGGGGTGCAGCTTATCTGCAGGAACATTTGAAAAAGTGTCATGAATGTCAAGGCCAATTTTCATTAATGCGTCTAATCTGATGCCTGGTTACTATGCTTTGAATGTTCTGCTCATGTTCTTGTTGTAATGCAAAAATCTATGAAAAAAACTGTATTGAATGAAGAAATTCCTCTCAACAAAATACCAGAAAAAGATCAGTCATATATCATAAGTTGGTAGAAACAATTTTAATCATATTTAAGTGCTAAAATTGTGGGTAAGACTTTGAAGTATTTTCTGTTGCAATGTTAAAAGTGACTTTGCATTTGATAAACAGTGGATGAAGAAGACTTCTCAAGACTTGACTTTGGATTTCTTTTGATTTCTTTCAAAAAACACTTTTTCCAAAATTTGAGCTGCTAAATTCAGGGTGCAGCTTATCTGCAGGTGCTGCTTATCCGCAGGTTTTTATGGTACTTTATTCTCATGACCTTTACATTTGATTCAAGGTTGTTACTATGAGGAGGAACTAGAAGCTGGTCACTTGTAAGAGTTAAATGGTCAAGTGTTCCTTTCCATCATTATAGCTATCTATAGGTATTTGTGCTATGAGTCAGCTCAGAAGCACAATTGTATCATAGTTGGGTTGGAGTTGTTTAAGGGGTTTAAAACACAGGAACCAAGAAATGATCAATTGAAAGAGGCCAGCATCTATTGGGTATTTTCTGGTTTTTTTTTTTTCTTTCTTTCTTGATCTTTCTAATAAAATGCATGAATTAGGGCTTAAAGAGAATGCGGTGATTGTCAAATAGATTTTGTGAGGTCATAGTGATCTTAAAGCAGTCACACAGCATTAGGCATGATTCTTTCAAACTTTCAAAAGTGTGGTTCAAAAAAAGCTTGTTTACTTCAGAGAAAGGAGAAAGGTGAAAAGTAAGTGAACTTCTAACCAGCAAAGTAAGAATGGAAATTATGTTGAAAGCTTCCCATTCTGACACGTGTGAAATAACTTTGATTTTTCTGCATGAAGAAGAAAACCTACTTAAGGATAATGCAATAGTTCCAAAGCTGAAGTTAAGGTTTTTAAAGCTTTGATCTCTGAGAGTGACAAGAAGCTAATTTCTTGTTACAGTGTCACCCCTGAAACACACATAGACGGCACAAGAGTAATTGAAAGCAGATCGAAGTTCATCAACCAAAGAAGCTCTTGATTGTGAAACAAATTCTTTTTATTAGGACCCTAGGACAAGTATAGAGAACAGTATGGTGAATATGTATACTGACGTTAGGGTAATCAAAGGTACAGAGCTCATACTGATTGGGTCTAAGACACCTGAATGGCTTGAAAGCGTTTTGTCTGAGCAAACTCTTGAACTCTGAACTAATAGACTTGATTATCGGCAAACTGTCATTTTTGCATGACACTTCACCACCACCCCCCCCCTCCCCATTCCTTCCCCTCCCTCTTTCTTATCTCCATTATCAAGCGCTGCCAGGAGTGTCACTACAAACCTCTCAGTTTACTAAATCAAATTTCCCCGTACGCGATTTAGTGTAAGAGGTTCTTTCAGCGTACCTGTCCCGCTAGCGCTACACAAGCTCCGGTTAACATCTGACAGGGAATTTAAAGTCCTCAAATGTCCACCGATGTGTTGCAGCCGTACAGAGTGCCTTATAATGCTCATGAAGGTTTAATGAACCTCTGTCGTAGAGTCACAGTTGCAAAAAACCACTCTTAGTCTCGGCAATCGGTATTCTACAGATTCGGACAGTCTCCGAACAAGTCCGTCCAATATTTTGACTTTCCTGTCTCGTACAACTCTCGCACAGCTGTACTACTTGGCTAACGATTGCGGGCGCAATGATTAAAACTAGTGCCCAGGGTCTTCGCCATTCGCAATAACCCACAGATCGTCGATGGCTCGTCTAGGCTTCTTTGAAGTAAAGGTAGGACGGGGACCATACTCACTTAAAGGAGAAGCTTATGAGAAGACCTTAATCACTAGCGTTTCTACATGAGCGTTTCTACAATCACAGGAAACTACAAGGCTGCAAGGTGCGCTGATAATTATCAGTGCTAGACTCCCGACTCGTCTCATATAACCATCCCTCTGGCGGTGAACTAGTGCCCTGCAGCGTTATTTAATAACGAGGACCCGCTTGCAGTCCAAAATCAAATCAGATCGCATTAAAATGCTCCAAAAAGTGGGATTCGATCTATTTTGATTTAAAGGCGAATCGCGCCTTCTTAACACCACCCCCAAAGTACTTACTTTGATTAAAAAATGAATTTTATATCATGAGCTTACGATCGGATTTGCCGATGACCTCGTTGTTCTACGGAGCGCTCGTATCGTCCAAAATGAGAAATGGGCAAATCCATGAAATTCTTGAATATATCAACAAAGTTGAAATGGTAAATTGGCCACTGTTACGATTATAAAAGCTGACGTTTCGAGCGTTAGCCCTTCGTCGGAGCGTCCTATTCGCTCCGACGAAGGGTTAAAGCTCGAAACGTCAGCTTTTGTAATCGTTACGGTGGCCAATTTACCATTTCAACTTTGTTGATATATTCAAATTATTTCGTTACCCCCACCGACGCAGCCCCAAACAGTTTCTTAAGAAACTATCAGCCTTTATTCATGAAATTCTTGTATTCTCTTTTAAGTCAAACTTTCAAGCCATTTAACGTTACATTTTTTCAATTTTCCCGAACTAAACCTTTCCCTTTTCACACCCAAAAGGCCGCAGGGGTCAATTTTCAAGCCTTTAATGTTTTGTCCTTGCATGTTTTTTGTTTTTCGATCCGAAATTGCATGCCTAGACCCGTTAAATTTTTCCCGAGAACACGATCTAAAAATAAACAGGTCGCTGCGTACAAAGACAGCGAAATAGGGTCTGGCGTGGGAAAAATAAACGCCCGGTGTCACGATGATAAAATTAGCTCCATCTGATTTAATCTCGGATTCCATAATTGGTAAAACATTATCGAGGAGAAAAGAGAGAATAGACATACAGGTGCTGTATTGTGATATATTTAAGATTTGCACTTGTAGTACACATTTTCTACCTTTGGGAAAGAGAAAATATGGAGGACTTATAAAGGTTCTCCTTTTCCCAATTATTGTACACTATACGTACAGTTTTAAAGCATGGCGGGGTACTCTACACTCTTTAAATATTAGGGATCTTTAGCGATCAGGATGGCAACGCCGAGGAAAGCTTCGATTAAAAAATGAATTTATATCGTGAACTAAGGATTTGCGAATGGCTGAATGTGTTTACCGTCTCTTAGGGCGCCACACTTCAACTTCAGCTGAACTTGATAAAGTAAGTGAACAGCGTTCAGTTCCCAATGAAAATTGTAAATATTTGCCGCCGTTTCCGTGCTATGACCTCTCAAAGTTTGGTGATTTCCTCGTTGTTCTTTGGTGGGGGACGGCTAAGAAATGTGTAGAGATTTAAAACACACGTGCTGAGCTATTGTTTAGCATATTAGACCCTCGTTGCCGTCGCTGTCGTGGTTTGCGCTTAAGGTCCCCACTTCTAACTACGATGGAGGCACTGTTAGGTACATATATAGTTCTTGCCTTATTACGTAGTAACGATAACTGTATTGTTCCATTTGTTCATTTTAATTTACTTTCCGCTCAACACTAAGACTTTGTGGTTTCTCTCTGATCTAGCATCCTCGTTTGCCGTCAACAGCATGGCCTGCAGCGTTAAGAGGGAATTGAACCCCTTTCATTAAAAAATCCGTGAGACTCTTTGTGCAGTCGCAGCAGGCATTTAACGGTGAGACGAGAACGAAAAGGATGGCTGCTATGAAACCAACTGGCCACGCAATAACGAGTAAAATGATCAACCAGATTATACTCCATAGCAAGCTGCACAAAGCGTCTATAACTTTCGCCATTTTTTCGTCTATTGACTATATCAATTGATTCTGCAAGTTAAAAAGTTAAATTAGAGCTGAAAAAAAATCATTATACGGAAGCAAGCTTTTGGCTATAGAGTGGTTAAGGTTCCAACGCATCGAGTCAGTTAATTACTCTGAATCTTCGCTGCTAATCAAGGGTTAGCCCACCGAAACCCATCACTATGACATCTACGAACTAACGCCAGGGGGCAAAAAAGGAGCGAATTACATGATTAAGTTTCTTGACTGCCAAGCGTCTTACATCGGAGAGATTGTTTAGAACCTCGACACGAGACCGAGGTAGGAACACAAACTAGCGAGGAAGAAGGGTGATATCAACAATCAATGAACATCATTGACTATTGATCGGAACTCAGCTCAATTTTACGACTTAGGGAACAATCAAACTGCAGTCAATTACTGACTTTGGAATGCAGACTTTTCGCCTAAAGCCGCCAATTACGTTTTACATGTTTGAGGTAAATCACGTGACTAGTTTCCTTGTTGTCGTGTTTAAGTGGAACAGTTTTATGACGTTTTTTTTTTTAAGAAATTTGAAAATACGTATTTTGTATTGCATACAGTTTACTACTGGCCAGCTTCCCGATAATTGACGTGAAAAGAAAGGTAAAAAGGAGTTGAAGTACTACCAGCTTTGGAGCTTGTTACCTGTTTTACGGTACATGGAATTTTTAAACAAATAGATTGACTCTCGTAACAAGAATCTTGAATTCCACTCAGCTAGACTGTTGTCATGCAATCATTGTAAAAAATAAACACTTTCAAATTTACTTACACTCAGATTTTCTTTTTTTCCGTTATAATCGTTGTCCTTTTGAAGGAAAATAATCTATGCACGATCAAAGCAATAGATCACTTTGAATTTTTAACGAAAGCTGGTTTGTTTGTCAATCAAAATAACAAAGATTTAGGACATTTACCTGTTGTAGGACTCATGCCATAGTTTCTATGTTGTAAAGGAGCATCTTGTAACTTGACATTACGAAAAAACAACTGGAATTACTCGAGCCGGAGTCAGAGATTTGTGTTCTCTAATGAATTTTTTCGTGATGTTCCAAATGTTTCGATTCAAAGCCAGGTGCTCCCTAGAGACGTCAGCGTAAGCATAAACAAGGTGTTATACTCTGGTAAGGATCGGCGCAAGACGAAGCCCTTGAAAATAAGGGCAAGAACAAGAATACACGTCTCGCTGAGGATCGCGATCAAAACAGAGCGTAGCTGACTTAGTTCGACTCGGAAGGAAAAAGGAGTGCATGGGGCTTGGGATGTCAGTGTGTGTGCGGGGGGGGAGGGGAGAGGAGAGAGGGGAGGGGGGTGGCTGAAACTAATCGCTCGAGTGGTGTTGAACAGATCATATAGGCCTTGAACAGATCATATTTCCAAGATGAAAGTAATTTGTTTTGCGAACAAAATCAATTTGCACTACGCGTCATATTTTGTCCGTAATAGCTTGTGCAAACGGCTAATTAATCGAGCGTGTTCCATTACTTAACCGAGGGTGGCCTTCTTTTGGAGGGAAAAAATTATCTGTTTTAATTTCTCCTATTCGGGCCTTACCTATATCGCGATAGCGTCATATAAAACATTAGCTTTGAAGGGGTTTGGCAACAGACATGCAACAACAAGACTTCGCGAAGTGCGTGCGGTGAGTCATATTCTTGTCCGCCTGCATTCAGCGAAATAGCGATCTAGAAAAGTCCTTAATAGCTGTATTCAAACGACCGTGTCCGCCCGTAAAATGTTTCTCTGGACACAAACAAAAGGCTCAGTAATCAAAAGTTTAAATGCGTCAAATTCTATTCATAGTCTTCATTGAGAAATGCTTCTTTCAACCAACGAACTTCGCGTGTTATTTCTGTTTTATTTTTTTCTCCGCGATTGAATAAAAACCGGCCACCAACTAAAACCTATTATATATATGCATAGACTATCGCATTTTGTAGGTGGGTTAGACAAACGCCTAAGAATAAAAGTCGATGTCCATTGCCGTGGTTAGATGTTATTAAGTCAGCTCTAGTGAATTGGTTATTTTTTATTGTGATTTGGCGAGGTCAGTTTTTGAATAGGGTATGACAGTTTTTCATCGTCTTTGAAAGGTTATAAAGTACATCAAAAAGAACGCAATGCGTGATGTAGCGGTAGAAGCGGGTGGAAATTCAAGCTCAGCTGACGGGCGAGATATCTACAAACTTATTGAATGCTACTTAAGCTTAGAAAGACCGGCATAAACTTTATTAAAATATTTTTAGCCAAAATTGAGTCAACGTCGACAACTGCGTAGCAAGGGTCAGCTTCGACACTAAGTCTAAAGGACTGACCAGTTTTAGAATTCTTTTTCCAACAGCGATTGTGAAATAAACGATACATGCCGAAGTACAATGCACAACGCCGGGAAAAAAAAGTTAACCCAAAAAGAAGAAATTAAAACGCTAAATAAATGAATAAATAAAGCAACGTCGTCTGGCTGAAGTCCTCGTTGTAAAACTAAAAGTATTTGTAGTCGCCATAATGCATGCATAATGCAATGCAATGCATGCATAATGCATGTTTAGTAGACACTGAAGTATTACCGAGATCACGCACTTTAGGATTCATTTTGCAGCTCATATCGCTCCAGGATGACAGGCTTGATGCTGTTCTGTTTTAGAATAGAATTGCCAAAGTCAGTTCATCTTGAACGCCAAATTTTGTTTGCATCCCTATCACGCAAATCATTGTTTCGCGGAATTTTCATGTGTTACCTGGTGGATGACCAATATCCTTTATTTAATACAGAAGATCTCTAAAGTCTAAGGAGTAATTAAGAATATTTTTATTGAAAAAATCCTATTTCAGCTTCTCTTTGAGTTTCTGTATATAGTTTAGCTGGCTAACCAGCTCTCGCGAGATGTGATAATCAACGACAATGTCGATTCCGGTTGATCCAGATTGTGAAACTATTTCAGTAATACCAGACACAGATCCGGGGTTTTCTGACCTAATTTCAATGTTTATTTGTTTATGTTTAAACACCCTAAAGTGCATATAACATACTGAACTATCTTACATTGGTTTAAATAATGTGCAATAACATCGGTAACACGTTGATCAAAGAAACAACATGTACACATTGATTAAAAACGAAAAAAGTGAACTTTTGTCTAGAATTCATGTGTAGGCTCGTTTAATCGCTAAACCTACTGTAATAAGCGTCTCACAAAATTTTGTGTTTGATATTAGCTATATTTTCAAATCGTTCCAATCAGAGTAATCTCTCCTTATCGAAGACTTTTCGAAGTCTACTTTCCTCGCGAAACCGAGACAATAATTAGGAGATCGTTTTATCCACAGGATTCGGGGTAAGTGCGTAACATACCACCATATACATGGACCGTGACATTATTATTTACACGGTTGTTATATTGGCCAATGGTTTGGCGTAAAAAAAAACGTAGAACTTTTTACATGACGTGAAAACCTGTATCTTTGATTTAGGAAGAACGGCGATTTTAAAGGAAAAATTCACGGAAGTTTTCCAGTTGATGGGCCCTTTTGTTGTTGATACGGGAATGTTCAGTACTGGGTACTGCCCAAATTTCAGTCCGGTGCAAGCGCAGTTTTATCCGCTGGAACAAGTCGTGACAGAATATCTCTCTGGGCACATCTGGCATTTAACATTACAGCACCACACAAACTCACACTTGCACTTGACAATCTTATAATATTCTTGTGTTTGATGCCACATTTTGCACGAGTTGCACAGCGATTTACATTTGGTCGTGGACACTTCGTCGCTTCTGCATGTTCTTCCCAACATTCCTGGGGCCCCTACACTGTCGTTCCGCACGCAATAATCTGGGGACGAGTCGAGATAGACCAACTTTCTTTCTCTTTTGGGTCCAGCTCTTGTCTTCTTGTTGATTCGTTCTTGTAGTTTGTTGTTTTTAAATGAAACCTGTGTGGCTGTGAAATAAATCTCCTTCAATTTTGATCCAACATCGTTGAAATTCGCCAACCGTCTCCAACACGTTTTCATACTGCAGCTTCCTGTGACTCCATGACATTTGCATTCCTTTTTTAAACTCGAGCGAACAATCTGTTGATTGATCAAAATAAGCGAGATTAAACGTCTTTGGACCAAACCCTCCTTCTTAGCTCAGGTTAACAGAAAATCGTAAGTGTTTATGACTGGTTTTGCTGCATTTTCCCGCACAAATTTCAACTAGTCACAGTGTCTATATGAAATTCAATAGCTTTGTTGACATCGGAAAATCTGACGGCAAAGGAATGATTACCTTCGGACTCTTGGTTGTCGCGCATGTGAGTCTCCAGCCCCGGGTCTAGTTCCCACGCCTCCACAGAGTGGAGCAATTGTGAGACAAACAATTTTACTTTATATAAAAAGGGTATTCATCAAGATGAAAAACCGTATCCATTTTAACAATACAGAGCTACGTCATTGGTATGAAGTCAAGTTAAGATTCCACATTTGAGCCTCATCTGCCGCGAGATTTCGTTACTCTCCGAGGTATTTTCTCTTTTTTTCTCCGGGGAATAACTGGCATGTTTGGGAGGTTACCCAACCTTTCATTGTTCTGTGCAAAAGAAATTTCGAAATTTGGACGTGTTCGTTTCTCTCGCATATAGCTATGGTAGGTGATCTCATCCAAGAAACCGCGGGAAATTTAGCATGAGCAAAAATTTAAAAAATTGATTCAAGGGTCGCAATGGCTCGACACTCCAAAAGAGGCAATAAAAAAAAACAAAAACAAAAAACAATTGAATTAGCGCACCTTTCTTCCTACTTCATTATTGTGAAGATTAAAAGCCGTTCGGGCATCATTTCCGTTTTCCAGTCTATCGATGAAGCGCCTTGTCTCCCTCTCTCCAAATCTGACGTCATCACTGCACCCTCCCCACTGCCAATCATCAGTGGTCACCCGTCGCTGCTTCTTGACTATGGCGCACGTGCATCCGGGAATTTTTCCCTGTCGGCACTGAAACGTGATTTCGTGTGTAATGGCGGCTGAGCTAATGGCGTGGATAAATGCGGTCTCTCGAGTGGCTAGGAGGATAGAATAGCAGTTAGAATTCCAAAGGAAATGATTAGTCTTTAGCAACAATGCTAAATTTTGTGTTAAAATAATGTGGTTTTGGTGGTGTTTGGTACAATATAAAAACTGAGAACGTTGGGTAAAACAGATCATTCAAGAATCTTATTTGAAGTTAAAATTGGTCAATAGGCGCACAGAAATCAAGTCAAGTTCCATTCACTAAAGATGGAAGGAGGACAGAATATGATGTATGTTAATCTTTGTTTAAAGGGCTCACAAACATTTTATTAGAACGACTTCATCTAATCTTGTCTTTAAAAAAAAGTGGCCAGATTATATCGATAGCTCCAGAAATAATCTTTAATCCTTTCTTCAAGTTTATTTATACTCGAGTTCTGGAAAGATTATGGGACTCGCGCCAAACATCAAGCGTGTACTTCAAATTTCAAGTCTTGGTCAGTTTCTTCTTTGGGATTTAACAAAGTCAGCTTAACAACGCAAAGATCGGCTTACCATACGGTAGAGTTGTTTTAACGAAGATGGGCAACTCTCTGAAAATTGCTTTATTGTTCACCGTGCAGTTCCAGATCTCGTTCTTGAACTGATTTTCACATTCCTGCAATCCCCTTTGGCCTCCTTCCTTGACGATACTCGACAACAGCTTAAAAGACTGGCATAAGAGGAAAGACACAAATCACATAAAGAACCATCACAAGAGTTAATTATCAAATTTACTGATGACAGGTTTCAGTTTCACCCTCGACCAATAGAAAACAAAGTCAGTGATATTTCTAGTGAGTGTTCGACTCTTAGCAAAATGACAAGCGAGGTCTTGATATCCTACGAGAAATTAGAGTTACCGAGTAACCCCGCTCGAGTTGCTAACAAAACAAACCGCAGGATTTGTCAACAACTTTCCATTGTTTACTGAACAAGTTCAATTGCGCCTCTGTTGCGTTATTAAGCAATAACGTTGAGTTTCACGTCAAACGAACAAAAGTAAAAGACTCAAACAGGAATCTTCATAAACACTTTGTGGACAGAGCAACAGAGTGAAATTACCTCTTCCCCTTTAATACTGCGTGAGCTTCGTTCAGATCTGTTAAAAGAAATAACGCGGCATTAAAATGTTTGTAGAGGGATCATACGTGTTGTGACTCTTTGAATCATTTGCTTAATTGTTTGTCAAAGCAAACAGCACCTTCGACCTTAAACTGATTACATAAGAACATCTCCAACATATTTCGACAAAGGATTTTCTTCATGCGATCAAAATGCCCATAGAAGTGTATCAAAAGTTTTAAAATTATTACGCTAAGCGTTCCCACTCAAGCTAAAAACGCCGCATAATCCCTTAAGATGACAGTAAAAATGACCGCGCAATTTAACCTTGAGTTAAACAAAACTTTTTAACTTGTATCAAACAAGCATGTTCTATTTATGTTAGATTATCAGCATAACCAGCTAAAATAGGGCCGAAAGTTTTTTCAAGTTGATCTTTCCTCTTCCAACGGAAAGGGGCCTTTCTGAGTTAAGTACATCCCTAGTTCGTTTCATCGCCTTTACCTCGCCAGGAGCAGTGGACCGTTTACTTCCCAAGTCATTCAGTGCAATTTCTTGAATTAATTTTGTTCTTTATATTTTAAATACGAATTTTGAGCAAACAAGGCAGCTTTAAGAAACACGAACTCTGAGACCGCATGGAGCGAAGTTTCTCGATGAACAAATCTGCCACGCTTTGGCAATTACTGGAAATAAGTTTTAATTCTTCTGATAAAACTCACCTGACAATACACAGTCTTTCCGACACACAGAGAAATAAAACAAGCCATATTGCTGTAGATAGTTTCATGTTGTCCCCTTGTAACCTTGACAGGCAAACTTGGTCCGTGTTAGTTTCTAAGATCAATCAATGCCGAACTTCTTCTGTTCTCTTTCAATTAGGCTGCCAAAAACAAATAAGCTCATTAATAAAACACGCTCACAATGGTACACAAGTTACTTATGCAAAATTGCTCTAAGGTGGGTGTCAGGTGTGAATGTCGGCATCTACGTATGAGGTGCGAGTCTTTTATGGCTAAATCAATATTACAATAGTATTGTTATCTCATTATAATTCATTAAATCTCAGATAATCTTCGACAATTCATACATAATTTTTTGTATGCTTGGCTGGCTTGTAATTCAAGTGTGATGTTAGCCGGTGCCGAAGTGAAAATTTTGCTCTACATACTTGTCTGTCGCACAACCGAAGAGGTCGATTTTCATCTTTTATCTGAGGTATTCAATTGCAAAGCCGTAATTTAAGAAGTCAACTTGCACTTCCAAATTTGCATAAAGTTGATGCCTTAGCAAAAACTCCAAGATGGTTTTAAAGGTCTATGAATCCCATTATTTTGTAAATTTGTGTGTTGCAACGAAGCGACAAAAATTGCCGAGCCTCAAAGTCTGCATTCGGTTCACACTTGTGAAATAGTAAAAGCCACTTATGGAGAGGTTAAGAAGGGTTTTTACGGAAAACTGCAAACATTGAGTGTATTGTTGTCTGCTCTGAGCCACCTTTAAGCTAATATCAAAATCATGATTTCGAATACTAGCTGTTAGTGCAAAATATTTCCAGTTTTCTACGATTCTTGACGGAGTTCGTCCTAAGGATTACGGGAACATTTTCCGATTTATTTGCAGGGTTCGTCTCAAGGCTCATGGGAATTTCAGTAAAATGTGTCAGCGTTAATTTTTGCAGTTTGCCTTTGCCCCGAAAAACCAAATAAAGCCTACTACAACCAGTTTGTTAAATTACAACCATTTTCCACTCCTGCAATGACCTCATCGAATCGCACTCTCGGCTGAACTGAAGTGATGTAAACCTCACAAACTAACATCCCACTTACCCAAAGCTTAAAATCATGATTTTAATGCTGTTCAGTTACACATGGTTTAAAATTGTGTTCTTCCTAGAAGCTTTCTAAACCGATGCGTGTCGGATTCAAATTAAGCGTATTGAAATTTACTTCTTTAAACCTATGGATATTTAAGTTTTTCAATTCTCTGTTTCTGATTTTCATTCAGTGAAACCCAGTATAACTAAATATGTTTTGCTGATGTAAATGGGATATAAGTTACCGGCTGACTTAAATGAACATTAACATGAAGAATACCTCAGATAGTGCTTAGCACTACGAACACAAAAATGAAGTAATTTTCCTTGAGTAATAGATTAGGAAGCTTGTAATAGAAAATTCTGCAATCTTACATACCCTAATTTAGTGAAAACCATTCACTGACCTACACTATACCAACAGCATTTTCACTGCGTTCATCTCCACGTCCGCCATTTGTAACACGGAAAATAATGATGTGGTGTTGCCCGTGGGTTTTCGCAAATTACGCTCTTTATGGACGCCGTATCGGCGTGGAACTCACAATCAACGGCGCGTTACTGAAAATACTTGTCAAGTTTCCAAAACCAAAAACATAAAAAAAGATAAATGATTTGCAGAGAGTCCTTTAGAAGTCATTGTGTCGTTACGGTGGCCGATTTAAAGATGCATTCTTTGCGTATGTAAACAGTTTTGAAATTGGATAAGATTAAGCCTCCGATATGCGGATTTGCTTCAGACATTCTTAAAGAGATATCTCGCTAAACTCTTAAAAAACAAAGCCAGCCGGTGTTCACAGAGAAACAGGCTCCATCTCATACATACAAAAGTGGACCGCTAATGACCAGCGGCGCCTTTAATCAAGACAAATATATCACTATTAAAATTTTTGAAGTCGCCAATACTGCATAGAAATTTATTGAAACACACTTTCAAGGGAAAACCATCAACCGTATGTATAATTTACTTGTATTGAATTTAGAGTGCTCGGCTTTGAAATCACAGGGGCTAATTGGAACTTAAGTAACACCTGCATCCGGCCCTTGTTTACTCGCCTTTCTCTGCCTTAGTTAAAAAGCTTAACTAAGCACTTACACTTTATTTCATCCCTTTAGAAATGTTTAGTACATCATCTTTTGGCGTGATATTCAATTATATATTCAAGTCTCATCGAAGTTTGAGTCGAAACGGAAGTGATATGAGTAAGACAGTATTTGAGGAACGCGGACTATCAAAGGTTACACTATTCTTGCCATGTTCCTACTGTGCCCCACGTTTTATGAGCTATAAAAAAAGCCTCAAATAAAACGTACGTGGGCACAAAACACTTTAGAAAAAGCACCGGATACAAAAAGTTGACTCTTTACGTGTAAAACCCCCTCCCAGAAGTAATCAACACATAGCCTTTTAAGCAGAGAGGTCATGAGAAAACAGAAAATATAATGTAGGTGATATAACACCCTCGTGGATAACTGCTGGCAATATTTTCTTATGCAATACAAGTAATTTTGTCAGAACTATGTGGCAGGCAGTACGGAAGACTCGTCGTTTTTTCAGGGCCTATGTCGGTGTCAGATTAGTTCTGAGAAAAATCGACCACAGGTAACTGGAGTGAACAAAAACTTCGTCTCTCTTTTAACTCCAACAGAGAAATAAGGGAAGCCCTAAATATCAAAAAACGCTTGACTGAGTACGGAGGCAGAATTAATAATACACACCGTTCTCGAATAATCACCGTATCTAATAGAGGAACAGAGCGATCTTGCGAGGATTACAAAGAAAAAGAAAATCAAATATGGTGCAACTTGGTAAGCAATACCAACCATAGAAATTCTCATCAAAAGAACGATACACTGGAACATTAAACAAGTATCTATGTCACAGAATATTTACATATGATTTACCGTTGTTGTTGTTAGTGACATAAGAAAAAATACCATTTTGAAATAAACGCCGCCCTCGTATAAACGCCGCTTCGAAAACGCTTAAATATTTAATAATTGCCACGGCGTTTGATAAAATAAATATGTTGATTCTTGGTGAGTTTTCTCTGCCCCGCAAAGAACATTTTAAATCATTTCCCCAAATCGAAAATTGATGTTTATCCTTACCAAAGCTCCTGTGGAGGAATACTTCAATATGGCTTAAATGAAATCTTGCTTAATTGGAACCAAATTTGTCAGAATCTATCATAGGCCATCGAAACATTTAGATCTATGACCTCGTCAACTCTTCGATCTTCGCTATCTTGACTATAATACGCAAATATGCGAAATTATCTGGCATACTAGAGATTATGAAACTGAAATTGGTAAAAAATTTATAAACAGCCATAAAGAATTTCGAGAAGCTGACATCTGACTACCATTTGTAAGAGTAAATGATAATCTGTTAGAATTATTCGCTGATGGCATTACCTGGCCCAGTGGGTCGTCAAGGTCGGCAATCTCGAATTCAAGCTTGCACCTAAATCGCCTTTAGAAGTATTCAAACATTTTGTAAATGTTAACACGGATAATCTCGTTATCTACTCAGGCGCCCCGTTGGAGATAATTCGGTTTTATCAACTATGTTGATAATGTAAATTGACATCTATAAATAATTTCCAAAGCTGACGTTTCGAGCGTTAGCCCTCCGACGAAGGATTTTGCCTGAAGAGATCCTTATTCATTATCTTGTTAAAGGTCGGATATCCACTCCGCTACTGCTAACACTTGAAGGTACTATTCACCTGTCAGTATTGGAAGCGCAACTGCGCGTAAGGTCTTGATTGCTCTTGATTTATGACAAGTATAATCCTTCGTGTTCAAAGTTTTGACATATGAGAGGTTAACTGAACATAAAATTTGATGCTTTTAAATGAGTTTCTAGTAGGTCATTAATCGCTCGTGCTTTGAAGGATACAAGAGGTTAACTGAACTTAAAATTGATGTTTTTAAATGATATTCAAGTAGGTCATAAGTCACTCGTGCTTTGAAGGATAAAAGAAGTTGACTGAACATAAAATTGATGTTTTTATATAAGTTTCAAGCAGGTCATTAATCGCTCGTATTTGATATCTATGCAAATAAATTGTCATGGTAAATTTTTGTGTTTTTTCTTTGTTACTCTCTTACGCGCCACGAGAACCCTCTGGAAATATTTCCCTATGGTCACCCCCTCTCCCCCTGGAAAATTAGGCAAACTGACCCCCTCCCCCCTTGGAAAATCCGATCCCTTCCGTGGGGGAGGGTTATGGATATTTTCTGGAACAACACATTCTAAACTACCTGGATTAAGGACATTTTGCCAGTTACCGGGATGGAGTTAAAGATTATCTTTGATCATCTCGTTAGCCGAGCGGAGATTTCCCAATGAAATGAAAGGATGATCAAACTTGCGCCGCTAACCGTGTCAGCTATCGCGCTCATATGAAGAGGCCCATGGATCAATAACTCACTACGGTAAATTTCTCTAAAGACACAAGATTTTACAAACACCATTATTATCAATTTATTTGTTAGTTTGTAAATAGGATAAATTGTTTCCAGAGGAAATAGTTTTTAAACAAAGCCAACACATATTCCTTAGATGCGCCTGGTCATTTATTATTAGTTTACATCTAGTTTTCATCAAAATGAGTTTTCAGTTGAACTACCTTCAGGTGCTTGGAGAAAGACTTTCAGTAACAAGAACTTAACAAAATTCACTTTTCAATCATCGTGTCTAGATTTAGCAACAAATGAATACACATATATAACTTCGCAAAAATATTTTCTTTAGCAGATCTTTTGCTGTGCCTGTTTAAAACTGCACATTGTAGTGTAAAATTATGAGAGGTTGGGAATTCTTCAAATATCTTAAAGGGACGGGCTAAAATATTTCTACTAAAAAATACCAATTCCAAGCAGCACAGCTTATTACAAAGTGTGAACTATTTATGGTACTCTAAGGCCATACCAAGTATAAGCAAATGGCATATATCAACAAACTTGTATTATAAATATAGGTACTTTCCTCTTGGAAGGCGGTCGATGAACGTGTTTCTAAGTACTCTCAAGTTCAGTATATGATAATATAGACGTGGCAATATTAGCATAAATTACAAAAGTTACTGTATCACTAAAACCTACAAGCGGTTGATTCAGGAGCCTGAAATTAAAAGGCGCCTGACTTAAAAGACTAAAATGCGACGGGTTTTTGTAAATAGAATTGCCTTGACAATAAGGCTAAGTTATTCATTATAATGACAAAAGAATAGTTTCTCAATTTCAACATCTACGCCAGGCTTGACTCTAATGCTTGGGGTTCTTCTGCTTGCAGACTGTTACTGTATTCTTTACTGAACAATTTGTGCAGTTGACTCTCTTGAGTTTCAGGCCACATCGTCTACAAAGTGATCTGCATTGGCGTGTTTTTCTACCACTATTTCCGCAAACTCTTTCTTTCAAGCCCGGTGAGCCAGCGGTCACATTACGCACGCAGTAATCAGGTGACGGATCCCGGTAAGTCAGTACTTGCATAGTATTTCTTTGGAAAACCCCAGCAGAGAGCGGCTTGTTCGTCTTGTTGATGGCAGAGTCATATTTGTTTTTGAGTTCATTAGCAACGTCTTGAAAAGTATTACAATTCTTACGAGCTCTAGGACAATTGCGATTATAACTCTTCTTGAAAACCTGTTTGGTAATGAAAAATACTGGTCAGAATAATCAGCGGTAGTTCAGAAACAAACCATAGCTAAGTGTCAGGCTAGTAATATAAGGAGTTTATGAGCAATCAATGTTGTCACGTTTGAAAAACTTCGCCAATTTCTAGGAGTGTTACGCGGGTTTCATTGCAAGTGAATATGTAAAGGCGGTTTTTCTATAGAAACCGAGAAAGAATTGATGAGAGTGCTCCTGGGGAATGTGGGATTGTGCACGCCATTAAAAACAATCGTTCACGCCACTCATATTTGTAGCACATCGCCAAGCTGAAACAGTATTCTACGAAAAGACCTCAGCATCCAAAGTGAACCTCCTAATCATCACTCTTAGCACAGAAAAATTCAGTTGATTGGCTATGTTGTCATTTAGTAAAATGTTCCGAAAATAAAAACGAAGGGGACTTGATGTAATGCTTAGTTTGAAGAATCATCGCGTTTCGATTCTTCGAAAAGTGGGTAGCATGTAACATTTCTATTTTCCTTTTGTCCCACGGTTGAAGGGTGTAAAAAGTGTCAGCGCAATAGATAGATAAGTGAGCAAACAACATTAAATACAATATGCGAATAAAATACAATTCGAAAACATTATTCACCTTTATTCCCACTTGCTGATTGTCAGTGTCGATTTTTCTTCGTTCGTCGTTCCATGGGCGTCGAACTGTTAGGAGTCTCAGGGTGGTCCTCTCGGCAAACGACAGTTTGTCTTTGCATCCAGGCGATCGCCGTCCTTTTTTGTCACAACTGCAATCGATGATTTTGTTAGCATCGCACTGGGAAATGATTTCTTGAAAGATGCCAGCGGCGGTAATTGCATGTAAAAGCGCCGTCTCCTTATTGGCTACAATAGAAAGGAATTGAATGTTTAAAATATAATTTCAATAGCGAAAGACATTTGAACAAAGGGAATAATAACTGCATAAAAATATTTAATCTTGAAGTCAATTTGAAAAGTGATAATTTTAGTATGCAGTCAGTGTTAGCCATTCATCACCATAACCTTATACCATTATCATCATCATCATTATCATTCCCATTATTGTTATTATTATTTTGGTCGTAAAAGAGGAAAGAGAAGGATCCCGAAATATGACGGCTCAGTGAAGAAGAACCTTGGATATCTCTGATGCCGAATCTAAAATAGAGTCAAGTTACTTTGCCTATGATGCTTGAAATGATTTTAAGAAAACCTACCGTAAGGGAGAGTTCTTTGCACGAAGTCGGGTAATTCTCCATTCACGCTTTTGTTATAAAAACTGCAGTCCCAGACCTGGTCCTTAAAAAGCCGTTGGCATTCCTCCAGACCTCTGCTGACTCCGGCTTTCACGATGTTTTTTTCACGATTTGTTTGTTCCTGTGTTATAGGAAAAGGATAACAGCTAAGTAGGTATCTTTCAAATAGGCACTCTTAATCCCCACAATATCAACGGACACTTTTCATTCAAATAATTTATTCATGTTTCTCTTGTCACCATATTCGCACCAATAATGTAGCTCCATATTCTGCATATAAACACACACAACCCACAATTCCTCCATGCGCTCAGTCCAAGGGTTAAATGTCAGTTTTGAAACTCTTTACGGTGGCCAATTTACAATACAAGATTAGAAACAATGAACTGAAAGCAACAAACCTCTATGGAATTAGCGGTGGTTGATCCTGGGCCAGCCCTGCAGAAAAAAAAAGGGGGAGAATGTTATTTTGACGAGAAAATCGTAAACAGATAAACTGATGTTTTTTTATAAAGAGTTGATTTAGCTTTGTCACTTGAAAAAAAAATCCTCGCTCTCGAAGTAACAGGTAGAAAGCTGGCATCACAATTTGGTATGTATGAATCGATAATTGGCGATTCCCTTGAATGTTTATATCAGGAGCTTAATTTGTGTGACATACCCTGGGCTTGTGCTTGTGACCATGTGTAATTTGTGTTACCTACCCTGAGCTTCTTGTGCTTGTGACCATGTGTAAGGAAGCCAAGGCGAGTACGATTGCAAAAAACAGCGTGGAAAAACTCATCTCTGATATCAGTAAGTTCACTCGAGGACGAATCGTCGTAAAATGGTTCTAGCTGAAAAAAAAAAAAAATTATGTAAGCAATCCAACGAAAGGGGCGGGAATTCTCTCAAATCTAGTGAACTATGTCCCATAAGACTACGCTCTATGTCTTAAATTTTTATTGTTGATTTGGAAGCAAACATGTAACTGAAGAATCTTCGGGTACGGATTGATTCAAGGAGTCCGACCGCTAGTTCCACCTATTTCCTTAAGACCTATTACATACTTCAAGACAAAGTCATCACACGTCACACATCACACGCAGCTAACGAACCAGTTCAGTGCAAAAAGATAATGATAATCTGTATACGAGCAAATAGTCGAGATGAGGTTTTTCTCGATCGTGTTAGTGCTGCAGTTATATGGTAGGTTGCTTTAGCTATGTTTATTGTTCGTTATGGTGAACAGCAGGAACGTTTTTCATCTCTAAAACGTAATTAAAAAGTCAAGCTAAATTAATTTAATGTTTGTTAAAGTTTTGGCCTTTAGTTTTCTTTCCACGTCACCTGTCAAAAGACGATAACAATTAGGATTGAAATCAGTTCAACATTTGTTCTAAGCACATTAAATTAATTGTTCTCAGTTCACGGTTCCATTTGGCAGAAGAGCGATCAAAGATCTTGCGTATATTAATAGTTATCCCAATGATCCGTGTCAAATGGAGAGAGCTATTACCAGATATTTTCCGTCAATCAATGAAACCTTTGTGAAAGTGGTTATGTTTGTCATAAACACTTCAGAAAAAATTGGATTGATCAGAAGTATAAAAAGATAAGCGATAATATATATTAACTGACTCTCACGCAGTGGATTATGAAAGCCTAAATTGTCTTGATTTTAATTCTGCCCTCAGTTTATGAGGAGAACTAGACAAATTAAAACAGACATATTGGTTGAGGTTAAGGTGAGTGTAAATTTAGTCACAAACATGTCACGCACTCGTTTCGAAGGAATCTAAACATATACTTGACTGATAATAGTGTCAACAACAGTGGTTCGGATCTATTATATTTCTGCTAACATTGCATTATTGTGCTTTTCCAAAGCTTGTCGGGCTTTTCTCTGCTCACGAAGTGGAAAAGGTCGGAAGTTCATGAAGTCTCGAGAGCTCTTCATTGCTAGCGTTGATTTCACAATAATCACAAGAGCTGAAGTAAGACTGAGGTACTTTTACATGCCATCGTGAAGTCTACAGAGCTCCAGCATGTTCGGTTTGATCATAGCGACAAGCACCTAAACATCTATCTTGAGATACAGATATCGCGAATATTATTTTGAAAGAATGGCTTTAAAAATCTTTAGCTATGCTTTCGATAGGACACCAGAACGGTCAAATCTTAATCATTTTGTGTGGAGACGAGACAAATGCGTTTATACGTCCTTGTGGTTCCTTTCAGTGCTACCGCTTTAAAACTGTAATTTTTAAAACCTTCACTCTTTCCAAACCACACAGGCCACAGTCCCTGGGGTGGCACCGAACTGTATAACTTATTTTTCACAGCATATTTTGGATTTGTCCGTTTTCACTGAATCGGGATATCAACTACAAAGACAGAAAATTTACCATAAGTAGGATTTTCCATAAGGAATTTAGAAAGCAGTTTGAATCATTTGAGATTTCTTTCCGCGCCAAAGAATTGAGGATCGGCAAAAATCACTGGGCTGCAATAAGTCAAACAGTAAAACAAAATACCTTGAATATGAAATGTCAGTGTTATGATTGGCCTTGCAGTCCGGCTGCAGACACAGTTCCCGAGAGCTCTGCTTCTTCGGACGTCTAGCGAACACACAGTTTGTAGCGTCAATAGAATACTCACTTATATAGCAGTTCGTCAAAATGACAGCAAGAGATCATTTGGGAATTATTTGTGATTTCTCTATTGTGGTTAGCATTATTCATGATTGAAGAGGATATCACAGGATACTTTGTTCTTTATCGTGAACATCAATGACTTTAAGGCACTAAGTTTCTAAATCATAAGCTTCTTTTTTCAATTTTGATTCGTTTAACGTACGTAAAGCTGTCGCACTGACGCAAAAAAAAAAAAACACTGTAAATAACAAACAAAGGATGTAAAAAACACGTCGGAACTTTTACATTTAAAAACTTGATTCTATTTTACGTGTGGACGATGAAAAATGCACACGAAAGATTTCATAAACACAGACCAAACAGTATGACACCAAAGGAAATATATGAAAATCATTTTTTACGGCCTTTTTTTCGATAGACTTCAGGTCACGTTTTTGTGTTGTATATTCCGTGTGGATAGTGGCATAGAAAGGAATTCCTGCTGAGGTTATTATGGCAAATGCGGATTTCCAAGCAAAAACGTGCGCTCGTCAAGTTGGAGGCAATATATGAAGTCTATAAACAGCTAGAAACAGTGGGAACTGAGAAGGAAGATCAAAGTTATTCAAAAGAGATTAATTTAAAAATAAGGACCAAAAAAACAGATAAATCACTAGTTTGATTTGACACTGCTGAAACGGTGTACAATGATGACGAAAACCGGAAAACTGAGTAACTACGCAGCTGAAATGCAAATAGTTCCTGTCAGAATACGTTTTACACCATTAAAGAACAAAATACACTGTATCACAAAATACCGCAGTTCAAAAAATATATGAACTTCTTATATCCATTGTACCAAAATACACTGTATCACGGATTCTTTCTTCACTTATGTAATCGACGACGCAGAAATAAGATTACAAACGGCGAAAAGGAGAACTGTTGTATATCTTGGAGACATGACGGACTTGAAGATAACGTGGTTTTTTGACGCTCAATTGTTTGTATGGCGGGCACTAATTTCAGGGCAAGACCTTTTCATCGCCTACCTTTGTACTTAATAGTCTGTATCAAAAATAGATCAATTTATTGGCAGTAATCATGCATGCTGCTTAGCACGATTTCAACTTGGTTGAGGTAGTTTTAGCTATTCACTTGATTTCATTTTTACGATTTTACATCTCCCTTGTATTTAAGCAACCTCAAGCATCAATAAGGAAACTTCTGCTCTTGACGGCTTCCTGCAACTATCATTTCCAGTGAAAACACACAGATCCGGCACTATCAAATTGTTTGTCAACGCCTAACTAAATTACGTCAAGAAATGTACGAATTGTCAGAATTTGTTTTATTTTTAACGCATAATTCGAAATAATCTAATTGTTCCAAACCAATTTGTCCTTAATGTTTACGGGGCAGAGTCCACGGGAATTTCTTCCTGCAGACTACCATGGATTCCCGTGAAATTTAAGGGTAATGCAGACGGACTTTTTTAAAGTTAAACTTTGCCAATTCTTACCAGTAGGTACCAGCTCAAAGGAATATTCCTTAGTTCTACCCTCAGCTCTCGCAAATTGTACTTGCAGTACTGGTGCAAAGAATGAAGGGCGGCGAATTGTTGTCTCGTCAGATTAAATTAACTTTTATTAACCCGAGCCAAATTGATCAAATTTTAGATTTCAACGTTCGAATGAAATCGAAGGAAATGCTGCAGCTGGTTACTTTGCCATTACCACTGGTTACCACTGGTTACAATTTTATCTATTCCTGTGCAAAAATCTATGAATATTCACTCTACCTTTTTCTTCCAAACTCTAATACATTCACGTGAGCAGGAGTTGCTATTCATAACTATTTTTGCCTCAAACACGACAACTCCATCGAAAGAAAGCAAAAGAAGAGAACTGACGATTCATCATCTTTGGTCAAATTGTTTACGTTCTGCTTTCCTAACAGTATGTCAGCAATCTTACCAAAGGCTTTTCAACATCCACACGTTTGTGATCATTGAGTATGTTTACACGCAGCAATCATTTACTAAGGGGTTAGGGCCATGCTAAATAATAAAAAAAAAAAAAAACAAACAGACGAAGAGAAAAAATAACAACGAAAAGTGTGGAAAATGCGTTTACGCCATATCGATCTGCTTGTGAGGCGTACAGGATTTATATGAGATAATTATGATATTATAAAATTTGCCGAATAAAGCACATCAGTTTTTCATCGTTGTCCTTTTTTAAGAAACGAAAATACAAATCCAATAATCTTTATTTGGGAATTAGCGCTTACTATGCAAGCAGACCTATTGCATTTATACCGTGACTTTGTATATCATAATTACATAAGTTTACATTGATAGATCAAGTCAAAAAACATTTTGGCTTTCTTGATTGAATCTGCAACCAACAACACCTTGGCTCATCTGAGTCAAAAATTGTAAACGTCATTTAACGTCCTTTCTTCGAACTTTTTTCACTTCGTCGAAATCGAAATAAAACGTGAAAAAAAAGTAAGCAGATTGAAAACCGATGGGCACATTCGTCCTAACCGCAAAGGGAAACATCTGCCTCGTCATGAAGTTCTACACGAACCTTAGAAGCTCAACTTTCCACGACGAAACGTGGAAAAAGATGCAACTTTTTATTTGCTTAGTTGCGGTCTCAAAGGCCAGTTTTCAATGATATTTGTCAGTCAGATATCCAGTTCCTTAAGGCCTTTCTGGAGGTTGGACTGACGTAATCATAAATACTTCCGTTTTTTTTTTTTTTGATTCCATTCTTTCTGGAAGAATGCTGGGCGAGCGAACGACAGGACAACATTTTACCCAACTGGAACCGGTAAAATGTTATAGTTTTCTTTAATTTCAGTTTTGCTTCTTGTAGAATCACAATAGATCTTCTGTTATTGTTTCTTTCTTATAGGCTTTTACTTCATAAGTTTCCCCTTCAGGTAGTCGAAGAATTTGTTTTTGGCAACTCGTCAAGATTGTTTTTGCTTTACTGAGTCAAGCTGTTAACTGCTCGACAGTTGTTCTCAGTTAAGTAACTTATATTCTTTGAGCTTATTAGATCGTCATTTGAAGGAATTAGATAATTATGAGGCCGAGAATTGAATTTATCTAAAAATAGAGAAAAGTGTTAATGCCAAGTTCAGGAGCCTGCTTACGCATGACGAAATTTCCGAGATGAGGAAATACTTCACGAGGAAGCCACTATAAAGTTGCAGAAGATTTCTACAACTTTTTTTTACAGAATCTTTCAGCAGCTTGTAGATTTAATTTTGTTTATGATTATTAGAATAACACTGAATATCTTTGCATGGTTAAGCAGAATGGCTGTTGCCTGACATTTTCATATAGACGATGGAATTAAGTTAAAACCATTCTCGAGGTGGAGTTTTCCCTTCATCAATGCTTCACACACATTCGTAATTTTGCAGCACTTAGACACTTAAACTGAGATATAGGGATCCACCACATTCCTTGTTCTTTATTCGCTGAAGTAAAACGACAGAGTTGAAAGTTGAAAAGGTAAAGTGGCAGCCACAAGGCTAAAAGTGTTTCCGGTTCCGCTATTATTTTAGTTTTACCCTCTTTGAAAGACATAAAATCACATCAGGAAGAGGTTCCGAAATATGTGAGAAAAACCCAAAAACCCACAACGTTTGAAATACCAGATATAAAAATGAACCTCAGATAAGGATTTCAAACATCTCCTTCGGATTATATCACAAGTTGAAGAATCATGTGGCAGAGGTCATATGGATGCAGCACGGAACCTTCCAACTGACGAGATTGACATGTTATCGATTTCTCTCAGTTTGATCCCAGGTTACATTTCAGGGTGGCTGCAAACCCCTAAATTTTGTGGCTGTAAGCATGTTTCATCGTTGTTCGACTCGAGTTAAAATGGCTCATTCAGTTACTATATTACTATTATCTAACTAAAGCGGAAAACATGCTAAGGGCTGCACATTTTTGTTTTCGTGGCACGCTTTTACTCTTTTCCTCGGCTGGTCTGGTCAATGCTAGTCTGATACTAAACCATTTACTTGATTTCGATTGTACAATGCCGTAGGAAACCTGAAAATAGGAAATACTTCAACAATGTAAGGCGAAGAATAGCAGGGATTTTAGCTCAAAACTTAGGTTTAATTAACAACTATTCACCGAAGTGGAGGTGGTTAGTGGTGGATATTTACCGAGCCGCGAAGCGGCGAGGTAAATATCCACCGCTAACCACCGACACTGAGGTGAATAGTTGTTTTACTATATACTAAAACAGTGAGATAATATACCCCACCGTCGTTAATTTGAGTGATTTCTTCGCTTGTCACGGATGCAAACCGGGACGCGATTTTTTCTCGAGTTGCTCGGAAGTAAATAGCAAGGATATTCGGAGTTTGACTAGCCAATCAGAGCGCGCCTTCAACGCTATCCACTGTTTTAGTATATACTAAATATGAATATTGCTTGTAACAGACATTGTCGGGAAGTTAGCCCAGTGCCCTTCGGAAAAAGCTCTCGCTCCAAAAGTTTTTACTAGGTCTATTACTTTGCGCACCCCCGCCCCTGTCACATCTTAGATGTCCTCTAGCGCGGTTACTAAGCACATTGAGGCAATGTTAGAACGGGGAAATCCTCCGTTTGTCACCCGTTTGTACCTTTGTCTTCACCATTTTTTCTATCTAGTTGGAAACCGATTGTAAAAATTTTTGGAGGTGTAAGGCGAGATTTGATGGCTTTAAAACTTTCAGAAAAAGTGACGAGTTGTAATCCATCGTTATCTCTAACAACTATATATCCCTCAAGGTTCACTTTGGAACTTGACAGCGAGACTTTTAAAATTTTGATTCGTACTCTCCTCTAGCTTGGTAAACAATTAGGCGTATGGTATGTTAAGCCTAGCATCTCGCAGCGTTAATCTTGTCTCCTCTTTCCGCCACTGCTCAAAAGTCAGTCAGGTCTAGTTGTCTGTACTTTTTTT